ACTTCCCTTAGCAAAGGAGAGGGGATGTGGCGCAGATAAACTCCTTTCAGCTTCACAGCAAGGGCCTGAGTACACATGGACAGCAGAAATGCAGCACCTTTCCTCACGTGGGGACCTACCACAGCTTCTCAACTGCAGATCCTTGCTGCAACATAAGCCATGTCCTTGAAGTCACCTCCAAGAAACTTCCCAGGTGAGAAGGAAATGGTGAGCTAGGCTTCAAGCAAAAGCTGATCAAGAGCTTTATCCGTGCCTTACCCACAAGGACACATCAGGGCGAGACAGCTGGGTGCCTCATACTTCCAAAAACGATGAGCCGGCTAGCTGTGAGCCGCGTGGCACGCAATTACATCAACAGCAGAAAGGATCAAAAGCCTGCACAGCAAATTGGGCTGCATGTTACCTCGTTAAAACCTTTTTTGTCTGTACCAATACCTCTGCTTCAAAGCCTTCAAAGTTTCTAGTGACAACATTAGCGCTTCTTATGCAAGCCGAGAGCCTTGCCTGAGACTGGAGCGGGTCTCTCCCCCAGGGCTGAGCTCCTGGCAGCTGCACTGGCTGCAGGGGAGGCTTTGAGAGGCAGAAACAGGTTCTGAAAGAGCCAGCTTCGGCCCTCATGAATTTGGCAGCACAGGCATGGCACACGCAGCCCCCGTGCCCCTCTCAGCCCCCAGTGAGGAAGTGTTGAGAAGGAAATGAAACAACAAGCTTTCGACACATGCCTGCTGGCCACAGGGCAGCCTGGGGAGGCTGCATCCATCCAGCAGCCTGCAAGGCTCAGAGGTTAGGGCAGGGTCCTCTCAAGCCTCCAGGAACAGCCCAGGATTGGAAAAAGGGATCTGAGAGGGAAGAGCCTGGGCTGTTTCAGTGCCCTCGGGCCCAGGCTAGGAGGAAGGATGCTTCCCTTGCTGACGCACCAGGAGCACTCAATGCCTGGAGGTTGGAGGGAGGAAAAGAGAAAGGTGGGCTCAGCTCTGGTGTGATGCTGTTTCTTTATAAGGCAACACAGAGAGATGTTTCCCTGGAGACAGCAGGAGTGAAGAGTAGGAAGCACATTCTTTGATCACAGCTCTAACGGTTCTTTTTTTTTTCCTTTTTTCCCCCCTCCATCAAGTCATCGCTTCACTCACAAAGCTGGTGTAGGCTGCCTTATGGGCAAGCTGGTCAGCGCAGTTCTTGGCTATATGGCTCAGCATCTCACTGCTTCTAGGCAAATCTCTCAGCTGACCACCACCAGTCCCCTCCACTAGTGCTTTGTCCCCAGTGAGACTTCTTCTAACTGCAGAGCCCCATGTCAGCCTGTCCTTACACAAGGTCAGGGATTTGAGTGATGGTTCCTCTCCTAAGAAGGAGCCTAAGGAAGTGATCCACTTACCCTGAGTGATACACCCTACCATAACACCCTCTTCCATGAGGTTCCACACAATTTCCATCAAAAGTCAATTAAGGCTGTAGTGAATGAAGCCATTCACAGTGTAATTCCAGATTAATTAGCAGCACACAACCACATAATAATTAACAGACATTGCAAGGCCAGCCACTCCATCATCATCATTTCTCCCTGTCCTCCCTCATTCTTCCTTAGGGCTGGGGTGCTGAGCAATAGCGAAACCTCTGGGGCAGACCTCTCCGCAGGGCAGGCCCACGCAGCACCACGTCCCACAGACTTTTGCTGCCTGCATGTGTCTTCAGCTGCCGTGGGTGAGCGGAGAAGGCAGCCTGCCCTAAACGCTCCTTATGCACAACCAAGAGATGGCCCAGTTCAAAGAGTGACTGTACTTTTACCTGGGTGACTTTTAAGTGTCCTTCTCTGGACGTTTTACCCAAATTGGAAGCACCGTAGGCCAGCCCTTGCCAGTCTTGCTGAGAGAGGCTGCCCCACCGCAGGGAGCTGGCTTGAGAAGGGTCTCCAGCACCTCCTCTCACCTACCAGACCATCACTGCTTGAAATGTTTCATGCTTTTCTTTTCCTCTTGCTGCACTGCTGCTCAGCTGTTTGTTTTGCTCAGCCACGCTGGCTCAAAATGGTAGCAAGAATGGGAGAGTCACAAATTTAGGACTGGAGGGTTGTTGTTTTGTTGGTTTTGTTTTTTTTCTCCTTTTCCTTCTGCTTTTGCTCCCACTACTGGCAAGGAAGGAAAGAAATAGGTCCAGACAAACAGCAAATGGTTTTCTACTAGTTATCAGCTATCTGTTTTGGAACTGGGATTATTGTCTCCGGCTGTACTTGGAGACAAAGTTTACAAGGATGTGCCCCTGGCAAAGTTTGGATCCAGGCTCGTCAGGGAAGGCCACAGTCAGGCTGCGACAAGGCATCTCCAGAAAAGGCTGAGCAGATCCCAGGACTGGGCTGGGTTTCCAGGACAGGGAGCCCAGCTCTGTACCCAGACAGAATAGGGGGAGACACATCTGCTCCAGAGCTTCTTCCTCCAAGTGCCATGAGCCAGGCTGTGCATCCGCATGGGTGGATGCTCCCGGACAGCACAGGCCACCAATTAATGCGCTTTAAATGCCTCTGGGGCCTTGTTGCTCGTTGATGTCTAATTGGGCTGCAGCAGCCTGCAATTGAGTTTCAGATGATTCAAACCACTGCTCTGAGGCCTCCTCATCCCCTCTCCCTCCAGGCAGGGAAGGATGCTGGTTTCCACCAGAGCTCCCCCCCTCCCTTGCCTGTCACTGAAGCATCCCAGTCCTGCAGCCATTTATTCTGTACCCTGGGCTTTGACAAAGTGATTCTCCATGTACATTAAAGTGGTACTTGAGACAGTTTGGGGAGGAAATGGAAGAGGGCTAAATCCTAAATCTGGCAGGTCAGGGCTGCAGCGGGAGAACCCAGCTGGAACTGGCTCTAATGGCCACTGTCTTCACTCTGCCCTGGGGGGAGCTGGAGCAGGAACAAGCTCAGCTGCTCTTGCAGCAGGACTAGATGCTGTTAGTTAGTGATTTCCCTGCATCTCCCTGAGGCTGTGACAGGGCTGATTGCTCTGCCCCCCTGGTTCTGTGCTTACAACAGCCTGCGAGGGCCCCACTGTAACCAGCATCGCTACATTTACTTTATTTATTTATTTATTTAGCCAGGTTTATTATTGCTGGGATCAGCCCTGAGGTTGGATGGTGCAGGACACAAACAGAGCTCCAGCACTGACTTCCAGGAACAACTCTGTCACAGGGCCTGCAGATCAGGTCCCAGCTCAATCTCTTTTCCACCCTTGCTTATGACAGCATTTGTAAGTGCTCACCTACTCAGAACATCCCCAAAATCTCTGGAAAATCAGTGTGAGGCATTTAGCAGCTCTGGGGATCCACAAAACAACTAACCTGGAGCCACAAGAACTTGCTAGCTCAAGGTTACGCTCTGCAAAGTGTAAAATGTTGTGGGAGACCAGTTTCTGCTCTTTCGTGGGAATGCACAAAAAGGTGGGAAGTTGAAGGAAAGTACGGTGCTGGTGGAAAAAAAGACACAAGTCTCTTTCCATCTTGCATAGGACAGAGCAGCATCCACGCTGTACACCAGCTCACACCCAGCAACACAAAAGGCACAACAATCAGCCTGAGCTTAAAAGGGTCAGCACAGCATCAGCACACAGGTGTTAGGGCAGCTCTGCTCCCTATCACAGCAGTGCCTGGCCAGCTGGCCTTAGTTCAAGATGATCCTATGATGAGGAAGTGATTTCAATGTAATTTAAAGGGCAGGCTGTTCATAAAGATAACCTACAGGTTTCTGCAAAACATTTTGCAAAAAGATTTAAGTATCTGAACCTGTAAACTCCCAGACAAGAGTAACTCCAGGCCTGTTCTTAGCAGCGTATACACAAGACATCTACGCACCGTGAACACACTTCTGTCCCTTTACACATTAATTCCTATGCAGGTGTGTAAAAGCTGCAGCCTGTGTAACACAACGCCAGAAGTTCTTCATGCTCACACTGACACCTTAATGCGACTACACCCCCTTGCACAGCAGCACACAGGGATTCTTTATGCCTTCTCCATCTGCACATCATCCCCCCTCCCCTTATATTTTTTTTTCCTTCTACCTACACTTGGGCTTCTTAATGAGAAGAGATTTTCCCTCCTCAACATTTGCTTAGACAGAAATCCCCCCCTTTGGCAGCGGCAGACACGCAGGTTTCCCCAGGTTTACTGTAAGCTGCACCCTCCCTGCTCCTTGTTTGCCAGCACCGGTCTTGGCAGCAGCACTTGCTGACTGCACCGTACCCCTCCTGGTGAACACCAGCACTTCCTTCCCCATCGCTTCCACCCAGGGGCTGACCCAGCCCCAACTGCAACTTCTAGGTCAGACTTTCTCACCAACCCAGGATAAAAGGTACAGGAGGGACGAGGTTTCAATTATCAGGTGTTGATGTCATGCTCTACCTTTTTATGCCATGATTGTAACACCAGAATACATGAGCACCTGGGGCAGTTTGAGGGGCCATGGACCAGAAAATGAATACAGGCACAAGTTCCTTATTCAATTTCTAGCAAAAATGTAACAAAAAGTAGATTTTCTGGGGACAAGCTGGAAGATCAGTGAAAGGCAACTTTGACAATCCATTGATAAAAGACTTCTAGACATCTGTCACCTCCTCCACTAACCACACTTTCCAGAGACTCCCAGAGACTGGAAATAAAAGCAAAGAAGAGTGTTTGCAGAGTTGTTAGCTACAGACTCAAAAATACCATCTTCAGGCCAAGAACAGAACTAGCTCGGCTCAAATTCACAGCACCATGTTTTGAATGGGTAACTCTCTGAAAGCACACAAACAAGGGGCACTATCTGCCCGCGAAATCCCCGGTGTTGGCCGCTGCCAGCTGCCCTGGTGATACACCGCAGGTGCTGCAACACCTGATGTCAGCTACAGAGAGTCACTCAGCATCAGGGGAGGCCTGCAGTGCTGACAGGACAGGCTGACACCACAGCCACTACCTTTGAAGGCAACACATACGGTCTTCACTGCACCTAGGGAAGGAGGGAATGGCAACACACGCATATGGACTGCAGCACATGGATAATCTTTATTGGTAACATCAGTGGAGCACCAGTAAACCATTACTGACTGTAGTGGTGACACACAGCTGAGGCACATGCTAAGGCACTTTTATTATATAAAAAAAAAAAAAAATTAATTTTTTTTTGTGACAGCAATTGGGACACGAGGCTCCTGCACTCAGAGCGCTTCAGGCAGACAGTATGGCGCTTTGTATTTAATTATTTTTACTTCGCTCATAAGTAGGTCTAAATGCAGCATATACAATATGGTTAAGAATACAGGTAAATCCAGCAACCAGTGTACGGTGTAGAAAAGTAAAGACTATCTATATATAACCATGGTCCCAATAGAAAGGCAGTGATAAAGACCTTTATTTTTTTCTTAATTACTTATTACGAGAGATACAAAGGCCTTACATATATCTGTGCAGATTAAAGGGTTTTTAATATACTCTTAGTCAATGGTGCACAATAACTAATCCCAACCCCTGGTTACAGAGCAGGTGCAAGAGGCTTGGACACGTCAATAAAAGAAGGATTTCCCTCCCCTTATCCCCACCCTCTGCCCACTACCCTATTAAATTCCCCTAGATTCTGTCTATTACCTTTAAATATATTTGGTCCCCCAGAGATTCTCAGACAAGCACAAGGACACTGTTCTGCTTCCCCAGCCTGCCATTAACTACTGGTCCACGCTACCTTAGATGAAACCGCTCAGAGGCAGAGACACTAACAGGACATCATTGCACTTCAGAGATCTGTCCAGACAGTAAAAATGAGAAGGTGGGGAGGAGGGGGGAGGAAAAAAAAAAAAAAAAAAAAAAAGACAACCTTTGGCAAGTCCTCCAGGTAACTGGTCCCAAGAGGAGCTTCCCTCTTCACCCCTCCCTGGAAATGTATGAAAGAAAAAAGGGCAAATTGCTATGGCCAAAGCACACCGTTTTTCCTGAAACTGCTCCCAAACCATGTGGGTGGGCAGATTAAAAGAGGCAGAAGTCTGAGGTCACTGAACATGATTGCCGAAAGCAAACAAAGAGGGAGGGGAAAGGATACAGGAAGGAGCTTCCCTGCAGCTAGAATCAAAGACAAAAGGAGATTTACAGCAACAATAATCTTTCTCTAACCCGACTCCCTCCAAACTGTGTAAGGATTCACCAGCAGACATGGCACAGACAGTTCTACAGGCCTTTGTAGTGGCCAAACTGCTGGTCAGATTTCAGAGCCCCAACTCTTTGGCATTAAATACGAAGAGGATTAGGAAACTAGAAAGAGGAAGAAACTAAGAACACAGATGCCCGATGGCTCCAGATACACAGAGCTGGGCTTGCTCTGCAGATCCCCAGCCAGTTCAGGAGGAGAGGGTTTGCTGAAAGTCCAATGGAAGAGGGGAGGGTGGATGGGTCACTCCATCACATGTAACCTGGGTCAAATGGGAGGACTTATTCAGTAGCTTTGGCATCACCAGCATCTGCCTTGCCGTCCACTTCCTCATCGGAGCACTCTCCTGTGCCCTTCCTGACAATTCGACGTGTCACAACGAACGGCAGGTCCCCGCGCCTAGGGAGGGACAGACATAAGGACATCAGCAACACGCGGTTCCACTGAGCTCACCAGAGTGGGCAGGCTCTGGACAGTGGTGAGGAGGTACCTGCTGTGCTGTTTGCTGTGGGCACCCAACTGGCTGCCAAGGTACTGCACCAAATGCTGCGCCTTACCTGAGTTTGCTCTTCAGGGAGCTGACTTCTCTATTCATTGCATCAGCTGTTTCAGTGGCATCCTCCAGCTCACGCTGGAGCTTCCTACGGGATGCATTGGCTCGCTGGGCCTCCTCTTCTGCTTCCTCAAGCTGGCGTTTCAGCTGCTTCAAGCGCATATTCGCCTTGTCCGCCTGAGCGTGTGTGGGAAAGAGAGATGAGTTTTTTTTTTTACAGTTACAGCACAGTGGCTAGAGGAGCAAAAAGCAGAGTCTCCAAAGCCCCTCTTCCCTTTCTGAAGGGAGCTTCCTAGGACTTGACAGCTCCAAGCCTTTCCTTAAAAGCATTACATTTTCATCTGTGTCATCTTGTAATTATCACAGTGAAGGAAAATAAATCTATAGGAAGGTTAATGCTAGAGCCCTTTTACATGCAGATGAAGCCTTGGTCATAGAAGGGAAATCCTCCCACCAGAAGACCCACCAATGCTGCAGGTAACTATACACACCTGATCTTTGAATTGCTCAGCATTACGCCTCTCATCATCCACCTGCAGCAAGATATCTTTCAGCTTCTTCTCCGCACGGCGCACCTGCTTGCTGGCAGCCTGGCGCTCCCTGCACAGAAGTACAGCAATGCTCAGACAAGAACTTATCTCCCGTTGTCCCAACAAGATGACCTGACTTGGCCAAGTTAGAAACATGGAAGATAACAAGAGTCCTTCTAACTTAGAAAAAAAGGGGGTGGGAGGCAATGTTTCCCAGAAATGCCCAAAAGACACTGATGTCACATAGTTATGACCCTTCCTGAAGTTACAGAGGGACAGCAAGTGTATCACAGTTGCAGTTTTAGGAGTGATTAAGTCTCAAAGAAGCTACAAGTCTCTACAGTGAAAAAACAAGGAAGGTTTTCCAAGATCTTACAGCTGTACTGCCCAGTATACCTAGGATGAAGCCCTCACTCAGACAAACCAGAATTTGTATAGAAGAGCTTAAAGCACCAGAGCGAGTGGAGGCTTGTAAAACAGACTTTCTACTAGGACATACTTTGTCTCCATGTCCAACTGCTCTTCCAGCTGGGCTATCTTTGCTTCCAAGGCCGTGATGGTAGCTTTGTACTTGGACTTCACTGCACTTTCCATCTCCTGCAGTTTAAGCTTAAGCTCCTTGTTCTGGCGCTCCATCTGCTGGCGAGCGTTCTCATTCTTCTGTGCATTGCTACGCTCAGCATTCAGGTCAGCATTCATCTGATCAATCTGTGGAGAGAAGTACTCAGCACATTGAGCACTCCAGCCCAAAAGGCTGATTTCTTTCTCAGACACACGCTGGCATGCAAAGAAAATGGACCCTCGGGATGAGCTGAATACCTAGAATAACTCTGATGCAGAGGGAGCTGTCTGTAGGCAGAACACTTCTCAAAATATCTTCGTTTACCCAGATTTTCAAACTAATTCCTTGAATAACACATTTATCAACCTCCTCTTAGGGCTAAATTTGCCAATCACACACAGTGCTCTCTGGGGCGAAGGCCATGGCTTGGCACTTAACACAGTAATTATCAGTCTTAGTGAATTACAAAAATCCTGAGGCAAGTGGATCCAATACATGTGCTTTACTAATTTATCATTTATTTGCTGTCTGTCTACTTCCACTACAAAGAAGCAGCTTAAAAATACTGACTTGCAAAGGCAAAAGGGCAAGAACTCAGTCCACTTCCAAACCAGGGCCCTGGCTGATAGTCAACCAAGTAGAGAACTATGTTCTCATCCACCAGAGTGAACAAGCCATTTGGGAAACCATCAGCCTAGCTCCTTGACTTTGGAGCACTAAGAAAACAACACACCTGACTCTCAAAGTCAGGCAGATAAAATATGGCAGAGAACAGGCAGGTTAAGATCATGGTTTCTATAGCAGCCTAACAAACTCCATATGGTTACCCCATTGGAAGCAGCATAGAACTGGCAGAAAAGTAATTTTCCAAACTTATCGTGCCACCGTTCAGCACGCCAAGTTGGAGCAGCAGGCTACAGATCATCTTTCTCATAATCCCTTAATAGTGAAAAAAAGAAAACCCTCCCAGTCCTTTTTTTATAAATTTGTGAGATTGTTCCAGCTACCCAATGATTTAAATGATCAAAACCAGTGAGTTAACATGAACTCTGAGTGCCCACCCTATTTTCTCTATTGTGGTATTTAGGTGTTTCATCTTGCTGATATCCATGGACTTCTGAGGGCTTGTACTGTACACAAAGCAGCAGCTGGCATTACCCAGAGTGCAGTGTGACAATTTACACAGACTAGAGAACCCCTGCTGCCACACACAGCCTGAACAGGTACCTGAAGATTTGCCTTCTTGAGCCGGTCATTGATTATCTCTGTGTTGCCCTGTTCTTCTTCTAACTCCTCCTCCAGCTGCGCTATCCGGGCCTCCAGGCGTCTCTTTTCCTCCATGGCCAGTGCTCTATAGGACACAGAAGCATTAGTGCTGGTGGCATTAATGCCTTGGGGAGAGCTTGCCACTCCTAACTGAACACAAAAAGCTCAGTCTTTCAAGAGTAGAGGAGATACAGTGCATGCTGCAGTCTATATAAAAATTACAGCCTGCAAAGTATTTTTGCAAACTAGCTCCTCCACCCTTAGACATGGAACATTACTCACCCTTTACCACTGTTGTTGGCAATCTCATCAGCCAGCTCATCCCTTTCTTGCTGGGCTTGGCGCTTGGCACGCTCAGCAGCTGCAAGTTCCTGGAATGGAAACGAGATGGTCAGTGATCCAATGGGAAGCTACCAATTAATGCAGCACAGGAAAAAGTAGTTACTGGCAATGGGTGGTATGGTCTCTAGCTAGATCCAGACTTAATTATAAGACGTGGTCTGTTCCCCACCCACCCCACAGCTTCCTTCGTTTTGCACGCTCCTATCCTATCTGTCAAGAAAGGACCACATTCTGAATTTTGAAGAGGACCTCATATTGGAACAGAGTAAAAAGTACAAAAGAAAGGAAATAATCACGCAAGCTTAGAGTGCTACACTTAGTTCTTGGCCAAATAAAACGAACAAACCCTTGACTTGCATGTATATTCCATTACCTCTTGCAATTGGATCATCTCTGCCTCCATGCTCTTCAACTTCTTCTCATTTTCTTTGGCCTGTGCCAAGATCTCTTCTCTGGAAGTACGTGTGTCCTCCAGTTCCCGCATGTAATCCTTCATCTGGGCCTGAAAATGGAGAACAAAAAAGGATGAACTTCAGAGCATCCACATTAAGAAATTGGGTTTGTTTGTCTTACGGAAAACATGAAGGGAAAACGGAAACAGGGATTCATTAAACTTCAGCTACGAAAAAGGCTGCTGTAAAACAAAAGGAATAATCCTTTTCCCATTTCACAAGTAAGAAGGAGAAGTAGTAATGGAAGCATACAGGACTGCTTACATTGCAGGAAAAAAAATACAATCTTGTCAGATACAGGGAGCGGGGAAGGGAGGTTACAGGAAGCTTTCTAGTGAAGCAATGGAATAGACAGTCTAGGGAGGATTTGGAGTTGTTCCTAAGAACAGGTCAGACAAGTGCCTGTAGGAATTGCAAAAGCGTAACAGAACTGTCTTGGGGCAGGAGAAGGTCTAAATGATATTTCAGTCTCTCAGCTTTGCAGCTCTGTAATCCTTTCCAAAAACACTGACATAAGGCAAGCACTCGAGTGGACTCTCCCTACAGCTTGTCTCCCAGAGAGCTAAACAGGCAGACCGGGGTTAGAAGGATGTTTGAAATGCCAATAAATCTTTTGTGGCAAATGGCTACAAGGCTCTGCTGCTCTTGTGACACTGATGCATGGCTCTCATGAGGTGAGATCTTGTATCCCATTTCCCCAGGTAAATGCTCTACGCTGACAGCGCTTCTCACCTGCAGTTTGCGGAGCTGCTTGATGGCTTCTTCACGATTCTTGTTAGCAGTGTCTATATGGCTTTCCAAATCCTTTAGGTCCATCTCTAGCTTCTTCCTGGCAGCCACAGCAATAGAGCGCTGTTTTCGTTCATCTTCCAATTCCACCTCCATCTCCCGCACCTGTAGGGAGATATGCAGGCATCAGCATTTCAGCCCCTTCATTTCCCAACAGCTACTTTTTGCATCCCCCTTTCAAACTGTACCTAAGTGCAAGTGTGTGATTTGTTTTTGTGCCTCCTGGCAGGGGGATGTGGCTAACATTCCTCACTAATAAAGCCACACAGGTTCCCTTGATAGACAGAGGCACACAGTCATGCCTGATAGACAGTCATGCACACAAGGGGAAAAGTCTCTCACAGCTTTGCAGCACTGCCTGGAAAGTCACCATTAACAAGAATCTGGGGATTAGCACTGTCTGCCTAACCACCTTTGGACACAAGTGCCTTTATGTATGGAACACTTTCAGGATTTACAGAGCAATTCTTACTTGTCTAATCAGCTGTTTCTTCTTCTCTTCATTCTGTTCATCGCGTCCCTGGAGGTCCCGGTCAAACTGTGCCTTCATGGCCTGTTGGTTCACTTCTAGCCGCAGCTTGGCATCCTCTGTGGCCTGCAGTTCATCCTCCAGCTCTTCCAGCTGTGTCTTCATCTCCTCCACCTGCTGCTCCAGGGCTCGCTTAGCCTTCTCCAGCTCATGGACCTACAGCAAAGTACCACACATGAGGTTTCCTCAAAGAGTGCAGACTATTCTATCTATCTTAAGAGCAAAAAAAGTCTAAGAACACGGCACCTGTCCCTTGTATTAGGGGCAGAGATACCCCTCAAAGCCAGCTGCTCGCATATTTGCAAGCTGCCACTGTGAATCACGATTACCTATTAGTTCTGGTCATGTATGTGTGGTGGTGGGGAGAAAAAGAAAAGCAGTTGTTACCCTAGTCATGACCTATTGCAGACTTAGATCTGGACACTTTCAGTTCTGACAGAATTCAAGAATATGCTTTTTAGACTCTGAATTTTTTCTTTTCCCTTCCTACTGATCATAACATTTTTTGTCTTGCAACAGTGAGGTTACTGTCTTCCATTGCCTGGCTAATCCCTGTATTTTAGATACCAGGCTCACATCATACCTTCTCCACCACAACGATACCAGTTAATTTTCAGTTTGCCACTATCTTATTTGGGTCATTCCCAGGCTCTTCCAACCCACTGTTCTCACTTACTAATGTAATACATAAATAATGTTCACAAACTCACAATGTGTTCAGTATTCTCTACTACAATCCTCTGTGTTCACACTAACATAAGTTTTCTGTGGTATTAAACTAACAGTACCACCTATGTGACATTTCCTGCCCAGATATTTTAACTCATACTTACACTTTTCCCAACATCATCCTTTGAACTCATCAGGTCTTCCATCTCTGTGCGGAACTGCTTATTGATACGTTCCAGCTCAGCTTTCTGCTCTATGGCTTCTTCCAGGGCTCTGGCCAGGGAGAGAGCCTTAGTCTCCTTCTCACGAGCTTCTGCCTCAGCTCGGTCCCGTTCTTCTGCATACTTGGCAGAGATGTTCTTCTCCTCCGCTAACAGCTACAAGAGCACAACATCAATATTCTGAGAAATTACTGACAATTTTCTAACAACATAAGCATGTATACTTTCATTACTGCCTTCTTACTAGTGTTCTGTCATGGATAGAAGGAACCAAGAAAACGTAGCTACAAAGACTGAAGCATGCCAACCCACCTTTAGTAACTGTGCTGACCCCAAATGAACAAATTTCTTATTCCCTAGGCCTCCAACCTGTTATTTTCAACTTTCTCTCAAAGATGATCTGCAAAAAATGCTTTGAACTTGATCTTAGACTTGATACAAATCTTATCCCTTTGGGAAAAGGAGTGTCACTGAACTTCTTACGCATGGAACAGAATTAATTTACTTCTATGAAAGCTTATTTCTCCACTCTATATGTTATGCCTTAGTTCAGAAGTAAATATACATTCTCCAAGCAGCATTGCTTAAGGCAGACCCGTCAATAAGATGCACCTACTGAATGCCTGGTGACTGAAGTCATACCTGATCAAACTTCTTCTGCTTCTTCTCTAGGTTGGAAACGATCTGACGCTGATGATCCAGGTCCACAGTGAGGTCATCCAGCTCTTGCTGCAGACGGGTCTTTGTTTTTTCCAGTTTGTCATACGCAGCTGTCTTCTCTTCATATCGCTGGCTCAAGCCCTCCAAGTCCTTCTGCAGCTTCTTTCTGGCTTCCTCTGCTGACTCAAGGCAGCCCAGACCATCATCCATCTTCTTCTTTGCATCTATTGCCTGAAGGACAGAAAAGATCATGTGTGAAGTCACACCAGAGATAACACTATATGTAGTTTACTGGCACACCAGAAGTTGAGGAAATAGGTCTGCTCATTTCTGAAGGTAATTCCCAAAGGAATTCCTGAATAGAAATCCAGCAGTTTGTATGATTATCATCAGAGACCTCTGTTTCTGCTCTGACCCAAATCAGCAGGATCACCTTTTCCCAGGAAAGGTTCTGTTACCAGAAGTCAATTCTGCATTTAGATTTTATTTCCTTCAAGACAGACCTGCACTTACGCTTCCTTTAGAAAGTCATAGGTTTATGGGATGCAGACTCTGTACCTGTTGCTGAAGAACAGAGATCTGTTTCTCCAGGTTTCTCTTTGTCTCCTCTTCTTCTTCCAGTTGCTCTTTCAAACTATTCTTCTCATCCTCCAACTGCTTCAGCTTAGTGCTCAGGCTCAGTTTTAGGCGAGTCTCCTCCTGCAGCAGCTCCTATAAAGCAAACACCCCAGTGGAATTCAGCACCACTCCTTGGCTTTAAAGGCTCACAATCCTCACCCACTCTCTCCAGAATGAGCACTTTTGAAGTTGAGTTTAAGTATGCAACTTATTTCACAGATAAGACAAGCGAAGACAGAATTTAAATAATTGTCTTCCAGCGAGTCAGTATAGAAACAAAATATTCAGAAGGGTCCTACTCTCCCATACACTCTAATGATTAAAATATACTACTTTACTACACAAACCATCCACAGTCCTTCCTGGAGTCCTCCAAGTAGCACACAAAGCATTAAAACCTTTCCCAACAACGGTGTGACTGTACTCTGCTATGTGACTTTCTCATATTCAAGTATCAAAGAAACAGACAATAGGCTGAAGTGATTTAGCATGGTCAAAAACAACACTGGTCTTAGCAGAATTGTAAGACACTGCTACTTTACCAACAACGTTTATTGTCTTATGCTGCCACTGCTTGAGCTGAAAGATCTGTACAGACTAATAAGGCCAGTCTTCAAACTAGTGCTTTTTTTTATTTTATTGGGCACTATCTTTGAGTCTGTTTTTTTTTTAAAAAGAGTAATGAGTAGACAGAACATCAATGACTGCTCGAGGTTATTTAGTATCTGACGTTCCGCACGCTCTTTTTCCCTTCCAACCTTCTGCTTGGTATTCCATGCTTTACCAAAAGATTCATACTATAACCTGTAAATGGTTGCTTTAGCTCAAAGTATAAGACTAAGTATGATATTTTCCTAAAAAAATACCAAATTATTTGAATCTACCACTTCCCCAACATCCCCAACAGGGAAAAAGAATTTTCTGCTTAACTTCACAAATGTACCAGAAATCACACACACAAAAACCCTGTCAAATACTGACTATGAAGATCTCAAACAAGAATCTAGCATTCCAATGCAGTTCTAGCATTAAAGAGCTCTCAAGCAGAAAGGTGACAGAGGAGGACTTCTAAATCCAAGACAAGGCAAATTAAATATGTTCCACATACTGGAGAAGCGGAAGGAAGATAAACAGCTTGTTTCTGTAGAAATGCTCTCAATACCATGCAATATTACTCCTTAGCAAAAAACAGGCAGACCCAATCCTTTCAAGAGTTGCATATCTAGTATTTAATGGTGTCCAGAGTGATTTCTCACTTTAAGTATTTGTAACAGACACTGGCTGCACCACACACAGACGTCTTGGCTTCCAAAGCTCTCACCTGTGTATCCTGAAGCTGTGATTCCAGAGCAGAAAAGTCCTTTACTAGTTTGATTGATTTGCTCTCAGACTGGTTCAAAAGACCTGTGACATTGTCCAACTCGACCTGAGGAGAGATCAGAGTATCAGTTATTAAATGCATCAGTAAAAACAAAGCTAAGAACAGGTGACCAGCTACAAGACCCAAAAGTGAAAACTGAGGCACCTCTCAACAGTAAGGCATGTGTATAACCTTTCAGGGGAATGAATGCATCATTTCCAAAGTCCCAGGGATGAAATATGAGAAGTCAAAAAGAGATTTTTACTTGGGATCACCTCTGTTGCAACAGCCTTCTGGTTTTGGCTGTTTTGGTTTTTTTGTTTGTTTGTTTGCTTAGGCCTCTATGAGATTTTAGACAGCCTGGCAAGAATTTTAAAAACTTCTGTTAAATTAATTCTCTTCTATTTTATAGCATATGCTTCAGGACTGTATCTAGAGTCTCAAAATTACATTTTCACACTCTAAAATTTAAACAGTGCATAGACTGTCAATGCTCAACTTTTAGTGACAACCCTCCATAAAGGAGAAGGCAGAAGACAATGCCCTGTGTGAATCAAAGGGATTTGTTGTTCCATTGAAGAAAGGAGGAGAAACTCTAAATTTCCACATCACCCTTGAGCAACTCCTCATCACCATCAACCACATTACAAAGCTTCAAGACACTGTCTTCCAAATTAGTTACACAATCATCACTCTCTTTGTGCCATTCTAGGTTCACAAGCAGCTGAATGTTTACAGAACTGTGCTGTACAAACTGCTGCATGCTGAAGGGGAGCAGACATGCTGATACTTCAAGCTGCTCATGATAAGCGACATCAATCCAATATCCTGCCCTGGCAATGATTTAAGGAGTTTGCATAATCCTCGGGAAGCAAACTACGGATCTGATTTTTGTAGGAACTTCATCCTCAGAAGGAACAAGATTTTTGAACTAGCTATGGGGAGGTACCATCCCACAACCTTTCTTTCTAGTCTTAGGCTGAATCAGAAGCTCAGGAAAACCCATGCCACTCACCTGCAACTTGTTAACCCTCTCAGCCAATTCAGTCTTCACTCTTTCTCCTTCTGTAAATTTCACCTGCAGTTCTTGGAGCTGAGCATCTACTTTTTTCCGCTTGTGCTCAGCATCTCCTTTACCCTGCAGAAGGGCCTTCACCTCATTGGACAATTCAGCCCTCTCACTTTCCAGAGCTTGTTTTGCCTTTTCAAGATTTGCTTTCACCTGAGGAGGAAAAAAAACCAAAACAAAACAGCAAAATCTCTCAGACTTTAGATAAGGCAGGATATTTCCATTCAGTACTAAGTAAGCTAATGTTGCATGTTTAGCAGCCAAGTTGTAGACTGCTTACTCAGAAAAAAAAAAATTTTGAACAGCCTGCCACTGATAAGCAGGAGACAATCTAACAATCAGAGAAGACAACAATACAGGAAATAGTTTTGCACCATCAGATTTCCAAATTAAAGTTTGTACAAGTCAACAAGTGCTAGCAGTGAGAAAATAATGTCTTGGCTATGCAGTATAACATGCCTGATGGGAAAAAAAGAATAAATGCAACTATTTAAAACAATTTCATATATGCTTCATAGCAAAAAAAAAATTATCTACCAAGGAAAGAAAAGCACATGTATCAGAAATCTAGCATCATGAACACTTCATGTTCTTCTGCAGCTTTAAGACATGGTCATAGAACAGCTATCATTTCAGGCAGGTTGATGGCTTTGGCCTTGTTTTTTCTGTTCCACATACCCGCTTGGTTTGTTCTAACTGCTCTGCCAGCTCTTCAATAGCTTGTGAATGTTTCTGCCTCATCTCTTGGATTTGAGCCTCATGACTCTTTGCCTCATCTTCAAGGGTCTTCTTCAAAACCGTTACTTCTTGTTCTCTCTTTGACCTGCAAGATTCACAAATTCCATTTGTATGCCAAGGAGAGAATCAAACAGATGTGTATATCCATCAACAGCATCTCTAATGTCTGCTTAGTCCTACAAACTTTAACAACACTTTTCAAAGTCAGAACTTCACATTGCACCCTCCTTAAGTGCAAGCTGGCAGCATTACTTTCAGCCTAAGAAATAATAGCCTGGAAGTATGAATGTTTCAGGGGTACTGCCAACATTATGGTTAGGAAGCAAATTAACTTTCTTACACCAGGTGAGGTAATGCAGTATGACTACAGCTTGCATACTTACCTCCCTCCTGTAGTCACTGAGGCTGCTAACCAGCCCACCCTGATAAAGCCAGTAAGTTGCTTTGGCAAAAGACTGGATGCAGCAGCATTTATTAAAAAAGTCAAAACCAAAACAGACATCACAGCTCCATGCTGGAGTTACCTGAGCTCTTGCTGAGCAGCTGTAGAATCTAGCGTGTCTTCTAGCTCTGTTTTCAATGCTTCCAGCTCTTCTCCCAGATCCCGCTTCTGTTTTTCGGCTTTATTCCTGAACGCTCTCTCTGACTCCAGGTCTTCCTGCAGCTCAGTGATCTGGGATTCAAGTTCCCTGATCTTTTTCAGGGCCATGTTCTTTTGAGCTGCCTCTTCTTCCACCCTATGTTTGACACAGGATTCTGATCAGTCAGATTTAAACTATATGTAAATTAAAACCACCTGTCCTACCAAGAATTAAGCTGGTATTGGTCAGCTCTACAATATCACATTCAAACTTTGATCTATATATCATCTACAAATTCTAAGTTCTATTTCCCAGTACTTGAGAGAGCATGATTGCTTACCTTAAAGAACGGGAGAGAGAGAGACTGACAATAGAAGAAAGCAGAAGAGAAAGCACTATTTTACACTGGAAGTTGGACACTTTACTGAATAGATGAATATAGCAAATATCAGAGAGACAGTGTGTTACCACTCCTTTTTAACTCTCTCTGAAACCTTATGGCTCCAGTGGAACATGTGCAGTACACATTACATTCATAGACTAGCTCTGTACAGAGAATGGGGCAGTAAGCAGTAGCCAAAGAACTCTGATGTTAAGGACATGGATCTTAACAGTCCACAGGCTGAAATACAACAGTCACAGATTCCATTTAGTCCCTATTCCAAAGTCACAAAAGATAAGAAATACTTCCCAACCTGGTAGTCCCTGAACCCCGCGGGTCAGGTTCTCACCTAGCTAAGGCTGCCTGTAGCTCTTCTTCCTTCTTGGCCAGTTGCATTTTGAGTTCTGCAATCTGAGCCTGCAGCTCAGCAATCTGGTCATGCAGATCACTGGAGTCCCCTTCAAGCTTTCGACGAGTCTTTTCCAACTCTTGCCTCTGCTTTTCCTCACGTCGCAGACGTTCTGATGGAGATGGGGATACATTAAGTTACACAGATGACACATACTCAGAGAACATTATACAAGCAGAGAAAATAAAGCTATTTAAGCAATAGTTTCTGTCCAAACTGTAGCTGAAGTGCATTATTCTGTCAGGACCTAGACATGCAACTGCCCCCATATTTTGCCCCCAAAACATATCTGGGCAATTTCCCTTTCCCTCATCTGACAGCCAAACTTCCTTCTCCCCTTTCACTGGAATAACAATGCCAGTCTCTCCCAACACTCACACCACACAGGCATAAGCACTCATTAAGTGATGCTGAACACAAGGTCTGCTCTCCCTTTACTGAAACTAAATAGGCTGACTCCGGCTGTGTTAACCTGATGTCTCCAGATGAAGTGCCTCTAGCTTGAACTCTGAAGAACTTGTGCAAACAGGGTATCAGAAACAGCACTAACCCTGACAGATTGATGCTGCTGGAAGTAGAAAAGTGGAGACACTTCCACAGCAGGAGAAGAAAGAGAACCAGCCTCTCTTCTCCATTGGCCTGCTACATTGGAGAGGATTTTTATTTAGATCAAGGGCTCAGCTGACAAGGCACATAACCTTCAGCCAGCCACTGAACAGCTCTATCAAACCAATCAATAGCATACACACTACAGACTAATTTTTAACCCCACAGACACTGGAGAGGTCTAAATCTCTAGAAAAGAAACTGAAGTTCAACAAATTTTAACAAGAAACCACTTAAAATTAAACAGGCAAGTCCTTTGCAGTATCTGCCTTTAAAACACAAAACAAAACAAAAAACCAACAAAACCAAACCCACCTTCAAGGTCTGTGATCATGGCCTCATGCTTATTCTTGAGTTTGGCTAAACTTTTAGATTTCTCTTCTTCCTCTGTCAGGTTGGTTGTAAATTCAGACATTCTGTCTTCCAACAGTTTCTTTTCCTGCAGAATTGAGAAGGCAGTGTCAAAGCAGTTGCTAGAATTACAGGAGATTTTTCCAGAGCTGATTGCACTTAAAGATGTAAACTTTATTAGTGCCTACACCTGCTTGTAACAAAAGAAATCCTTTCAGGATTACAGACAATATTCAAATAAATGGTTACTTAAAGATATGTATTTGATAGCCCTTTCAAAGCTGAAAGGGAACTCTGTTTATGAAATAACTTGATACTATTTGGCATAACAATGTATCAGAAAACATTTGCTCGTGGATCATTATTTAGTCAAGACTATTTAAATACCATACAATACTGACTTGTAAAGAATACAGGTAGGCAGCTAATTTAAAAAATTCAGTTCAGAGTTGTCAGAGACAAGACTGAATTAATTCATAAAGTTTCCCCATAATATGGGAAAAGTCAGCCTTTGGTGGGTGGTTCCAGGAGAAATACCTGTGCATCTTTAGTGTGCATAAGAAGCTGCAGGAGTCTTACCTTAGCCAGTTTGAGATTCTGATCTTCCAGAACTATCACATCTTCTTCCAGTTTCTTCAATTTGGCCTCTGTGGTCACTTTTTCTAGCTGCAACTTCTGCCTTGCGCTTTCCTCTTCTTCAAGCTGCTCCTCTAGTTCCTTCACAACACCCACAGAAAAGCAAGGCATCTGTCAGTGCTGCTCACTAACCAACGTAACAGCACAATACCAATATTAAAACATGGAAGGTTTCTTTACCCTCCCTTCAAGGTATTACCAGTACTTTCCAGAAGTGACTGTGTAAGTCTGTCATGACTTAATGCAACATACTGCATTCTAACAAACAAGTTTTCTAGTAGAGGAAACAATGCTATTTTGCAAAGAATGCTACCATTCCTAAACACCTGGCTTAAGCAAAGACTTGTCTGATTATTTGACAAGTGGCCATCGTCTTCGTCTTCAAGAATGGAAGAGCTCATTCCAGATGACTGACTGAACGCCTCAGGCTCAGCACTAGAATTGCTGTCTTGTTTTGCTTTTTCCACAGACAGATTTTCCTACGCTTTCTTTTCTTTTGTTCTCTCTCTCCTGTTTCCCTCCAATCTGGCACAAAAGAACCCCTCTAGCCCTTTACTGACAAGAGACAGCATTGCCAAGGCATTACCTGGATGTTCTGCTGCATTTTCTTCTTCTCAGCCTGCAGATGTTGACACCGTTCTTCCTCTTCCTCCACCCTTGCTTCCAGGTCATGACATATCTCCTCCAGTTCTTGTTTCTTGGCTGTCAGGCGGGCTCTTATCTCCTCAGCTTCAGCACAGAGTTCAGTTTCTGCTTGCAACTGTTCCTGCAGCTGCATCTTCTCTGCCATTAGCTACATTGGACACAAAGCCAGAAATAAGACAAGCTCCAAATTACCAAAGCACTTAGCAATCTGTGGTAAGTGAAGTTATGTGCTCCTGTGTTCCACAGTTAAGTCTTTAATAATTGCAGCAGTCTCCTGCTGCTAATCAAAAGCTAAATACCAAAACATAGCTTTTAAGTATTTGTTCTCTTTCACAAACCATGCACTGCAACCACATATTATGTTAGCCTCAACAAATTTCTCAAGACCACATCCATTTGAAATAAGAAGATTGCCTAGTTTGCCCTACAGAAAAACAATCTTGCTGCCACCTTCTGCGTTCCAAACAAAAAGGATTCCATTAATAACAAGGCTGAATTAAACCAGCTTGCTATAACACTCAGCCAAAGATGACTTTTCTTCACAGAATGGCTATAGAAGGGCAATAGGTGTTCATTATACCAAATGACCTGCTAGAGGAACTGAGCTGGCAAGAAGGACAAAGGAATTGAACAAGATGGCAGCCAAGTTGCATATTTCAACAAGTTGAAATCCTGCAGCTTATCCATCAGATCAATAAAACAAAGGAGGAGCTCTCAAGCAGCTGTCCACAGAGAGAATGACTTTTACACATGAGATTTGCAAACTCACCTGGGCCTGGAAGGTCTCCATCTCACTCAGTCTATTTTCTGCAGCTAGTTGCTTCTCCCTGACCTTTATTAGTTCTTCTTCTTTGGCCATCATCTCCTCTTCCTGTCTGCTTACTTGCAGAAGGGGCTTCACCTGAAAAGGAAACCAACGAGCCATGTATAAGGAACAAGGAAAACATGAAGAAATGCTCTTGTACTTGATAACCATTGAACAAAACAGCATTTTAGATAAGTATCATATTTGAAGGACTAATTGTTTTGTTCTGAACACTGGGAGGGTCACAGAGGACTAGATACCATCTACTCTGCCAATAACATACTTTCTGCTTGTCCAACTTTTCCTCCAAGATGGGATGCATCAGGAAAGGGTTGAGTAAACTCCAGACCCTCAAGGTCCAAGTAGTAATAGCAGGAAAATAAAAAAGTTATACACAGTGGGGAAATTCACACGTAGGTCAATATAAAGAAGAAGAAAAAAATAAAAAAATAATAAAAAAAATCAAACACCACCCATCTCTGTGCTCCCCCATCAAAAACCCTTAGAAGTAATTTCATAGGAAAGAGAAGAAAAAAGTTTAAACTCTGCTCTCAACTCTCATTTAGCTACAAAGTCTCATTGCTAAAAAGCAAGAAAACCCATATATTTAGAAAAGAGACCATTTCTTCATGTGTTCATTGTCTTTACAAAGGTAAAATATCTACAAGTCTAACAACAGGATCATGCCTCAACGCTTTTCCTTTGCTCTTACAACCCTGAAGAACAAGATGGCAAGCCATCCCCATATTAACAATTTTTGTCTAGCTAAATTCACTAGACACATAGGGACTCTTTGAAGTGCCATGTCACCACAGTAAGTGATCCTCTTACTCTTCTTAGGCATAAAGCATTAAAAGGCGACTTCTACTTTTCCACAACATTACTTGGATATAGTTTTGCACTTGGTTTATGCAGGCATACTGCATAGCTACAAAAAATGCTATGAAATTCTCTGCCTAAATGAATCAAGATGTAGTTGCAAGCCAGCCCAATTGTAGAGGAAGTGGTTTTTGTGCTCTGGTTCAACCTGAGAAGCTGAAATTGCAACCAAACTGTCAAAATTGCAAAGGGAAAAATATTACCTTGGTGAACAACCTCCACCATTGCCAGTTCCGCAGTTTCAAATAGGCAGCACAGTTCCTCTGAAGCACTTTCATGGCTGTCAATTGCTGCTGGCGCTTGGCAAAGGCTCTGCAAAGTAAGTGGAGGTCAGACAAAGGAACCCACAGCGGCACACAATTCTCTCCACCAAGCACTTTCTTAGCTATCTCTCCTTTTTAACTTTAGAAGGTTCCCTCCTAAAAAACCAGCAAAATTTCCAGTTAACTTCCTCTATCTTTTAAAGGTTTCCCCCCCCCACCCCTTAGGTAAAAGTGATTGTCCTTTCCTTTATTCAATTTCCTATTTAAGAAAGTTCTTCCCTAATGTCTTCTAATCTGAAAAGCCTTGTTATTTTCACTTCAAAAACAGGTAGATCTGAAACAGAGGTGTGTTTTCCTGTCAGTCTGACAGATACTACTTTTGTTTTTAGAACTGTACCACTTGCAGTCCTACCTAATAGCTTAAGAGAAATCAAACATCTCCTGGATCAGTAAGTTCCTGTACTAAGACCTTTTCATTTTCACATCTGAAGTTTGCAGCATTTCTGTCAAAAACTTTGCCTTCTGTATACTACTCCTATAGGGACGGACAGACTTTACCGCTTTGCTACTATGTGGGATAGCAGCACACTGAGATTCTTGCAGGTGCCAGAAGTTTGGCATTACAGAGATCAGAAAGACCTAAAAACAATCATCAACTGCTATATATATATAACAAGTAAAACTTGGACTTTTGGACAAAAAATAATTTCTAGTCAGCTTTTTTGGAAGAGAAACTTGAACCTAAATGGGAGAAAAACATATGTTGATAATGTACTTTACAAAATACAGTCCTTACTTTCTGGCCAGGTAGCCTCTGCAGCATGCTTGGAAGCCAATAATGACATCTGTGATCTTCAGGTCTCTCTCTTCTTCAAGATGAGCAAGGACCCCAGCTCTGAAAAACACTTTACTCTGTCCAATTCGATAAAGGTTGGAATCCAGCTCCAATGCTTTGATCTAAAATGAAAAAGAGGAGGATTAATCTCTTGCAAAGACTGCTTCATCACAAAACGTATTTGTGTCTCATGGCTGTAAGACACCACTTCCCTACAATGAACCACTTAGGCCAACCAAAGTTGCTAGCTCCCAATAAAGCCCCGTCCCAATTAGAGGAGTTGGAGCTTAGCCAAGTACAGCATGAAATGGAGTAACCAGAGACACAAAACATGATAGAAAGCATTGTTTAATACAACACCACATCAAGTACTCAGAAGTACAAGGATGCTGTTAGGAACATACACCTAATCACAAGAGTAATCTTCTTTTCCTAAAGGAAACACACCTGTTCATCCTTCCCATTTATTTTTTCTCAGTCTTAATCTTTGTCAGAAAAAGGCACCCCAACCAACTTTCCCATCCTTTAAAGGATTTGCTGTCAACACTTATACTAGTTAAGAGAAATACAGTATACTCCTTTAAGACAGAAAAAAGGGAATCCCTTACAGCCAAATTCAATTCAGTCTCCCCTCATCTTTAAGCTACAGAGCCAAAGCTTTCCCTTTGAAGCATGCAATTCTGCAGAAATTAATTGAAGCCTTCACTGAAAGCATTTGTCATCAGCAGGCCATTAGAAAAAGTTTGTTGAAGCTCATACTCTAAGCATATGTTAAAGATAACATTAATGCTTGTAAGCATTTTGATTCCATGAATACTGCTGGCATCTCAAAGTATATATCTGTGGAAACAAAGATCTTTGCCTAGGATTACTGAACCTCATGCTAGTCAAAAGCCTCCATCTGCAAAGCCAAGAGACAGCTTTTTGCACCCTCCTTCTCTCAGACAAAACATTTGACTTTGGAATCTTGATCTATGAGTACAAGTTATATTTAATGTACACAACTGATTTCCAAACTATACCCATAGTTTCTGGGTTGCCTTACCATCAGCACACAAGCCTGCTTTCCATCCATAAATCCTTTGGGAATTGCATTTGGAGTTAGGATTTCATATCTGAAAAGGAGAAAGCATTAGACTAGTTACACACGTATATTTGAAAACAACAACAAAAAAATCAGTAATGCATTCCTCTATGGCATTATGAGTTTGACAGCTTATGGTCTTGTCAGAAGAAAAAAATTACACCTCTAGACAATAGAGTATGAAGCAGCAGTCTTAGACAAGGCCCTCTATACCTCCCCTTAACTACTTAACTCTCTCCTTTTGGGAGACTTTGTGCCAAGGAATATGAAGGGACATGTTCTGTGTTGCTGTCTTTGAAATCAATGGCAACCTAGTTGCTATAAAATACTTCCGTTTTTGCACTTACGTCTCCTAGCTTTGTCAGGGGAAAGACTGCTTCAGATTCTTTTCTAGGCCTTACCTTTGTCTGAATTCCTGGAATACAACTCTGTTGGGGAAACCCTGACGACAAATACGGATTCCCTCCAGCACTCCATTACAGCGAAGCTGGTCGAGGACTAAGTGGGGATCTAGTTTTCCAGCCTAGTGAGAAAAAAAGCGTATTTTGTAAACACCACAAAGCTTTTACAAAAGGGCCTTACCCCCTTTGCTCCCCGTCTTTTTTGTAAAGCAGACGGTTCTCTCTTTTCCATTGATTGGAAGCTTTTATGCCACCATGAGAACTGCAAAGATCAGTCTCCAAAACTGTGGTAAGCATACAGTTATTTCAGATCATCCTAAAAAGATATCTTGAGAAAACAGGACGTCTCTAAGATCTCTTGTAAAACCTGACAAAAGATAGCAAGTCAGCTACATGGTCCCAGAAGCCCATGTAAGACTGCATGGGCTGTAGTGTTACAACTGTCATTACCTTTTTCTCATGGTTGGGGATAATACAACGGACGAAGTTGGGGTTGGTGTTCCTCAAGGTAGCCATCAGTTTAGCCAGCTGTTCTTTATAGAGCTGTCCCACTGTTCGGAACATACCCTTCCTGGTTTTAAAGGCCCCTGGCAATGCTGTATCTGACATACCAGCTACTTGATCCAGACCAACAATACGGTCAACTAGAGAGAGCACAAGAAAGACTGTTAAAATTCTGCCACAAACAAAGAAAACATTGGAACACACAAAGAACATCTGGGTAGAACAGGATAAGTGAGAGGAACTGCAGGATCCTTTTTGCTTCATCTCTACACAGATGTTCACTCCTGTACAGAATTTGTGCAGGGATAGGAGCAGGAAGGAAAAAAAAAAGCAATAGCTCACTAAAGGAAGTTTGAGTAATGGAGTCAAACTTACTTCCAAACATATTCTACTGATGCTCTGGATGGCAGCTCTGGAAGAGCAATCTAGAAGTGAGTTTCAGATGCTTCTACTTGCTTAGGTTACAAGGGAAAACAACAAACCAAGAGTTCTAGCTGCTAGCCCAGCAGAGTCAACTATTAGTTAACTCTGACCCAGAAGGGGCCACAGTTAGAGAAAAAGCCCAGCTTCACTCTTGCATTACAGGGAGAACTGCCATGATTGGTGATCAGAAAAGCCATATCTACTTGTAAACTGAGCAAACATGGTAAAAGGCCTGATAGAAACCAAACCTCAAGATACCACTGTTTGAGTTATTTTTGGACTACAAGTATTCTATGACAAGAGACATGAACAATACCACTAGGAGAAAGTCAGAACTCCCTGCCCGAACAGATTCTCCACTATGCCACAGTGACATCCAAGCACTGATGAAGCTAGCACCTTGATGAGTGGACTCCAACAATCTTTTTTTTCAATAGAAGCCAGCTAGATCTGAGAGCAGTAGAGGCAAGAAGAAACTAAAGCATTACTTTTTTCCATTGCTCTTCTAGATAGAGAGAAAAATTCACCCACCCAACCAAAACCAACTGTATCACTATAGATTTCCACATCCCCAGTACAGCTAATATTAGTTTAGAACTGCTCACTTCTAGAGCAGCTGTTAGGATAGGGTCAAGGTTGCCTTATCAGAAAGAAAAGAAGGTTATGTTACTAAATGACACCACACTGAAATCCACAGAAGAGTGTCCCAGACTGTGGCTGGAACAATCCTCTTAAAAATGTTGAGCCCTGCGATCTACATCAAGATAGCAAAAGGGACGGTCACTCGCAACAGAAGATCCAGCTAAGAACAATCAATGATAACTGATCAGCTGTGGTTCAGTTGGCATTTCAATTCCAAACGGAGTCTCACACAGCAAAGGCCTTGTGAGGCACAAGTTGCTGAGGGCTGTTTTTCATGCAGTACAAGTTCTTTTGCCAAACTAACTCCCTTTTCAGTGATTAGCAGCTGAAATCAAATCCCAATACTAGAATAAATGTTAAACTGGATTTCAGTCTAAACACAGTCTCAGAAATCTTCCTTCCAAATCTTGCAAGAAATACAGTGTTGCTAACTACATTCAAACAGTTGTCAGGGATTTGCTTTTAGCTGTTCCTAGGCAAGTCTTGCAAGAGCAACCTTTAGCACATGAATATGTCCATATTTTTCGTGTATCCACTTGCAAGGTGAGAGTTTTGCTTTTGTTTTAAAGTCCGTGAGGAGCTACTAGCACAAAGCAGAGGAAATGAACAAGAAAGACAAGCAGGTATGACAAAGGGACAAAGAGAAGTTAACAGAAGCATTTCTCGTATGGCTCTAGGATGCATTACACACATGACATGACAGCTGGTTTTCTCAGTCACCTGGTTCTAGATGAAGAATAGGAAAGTGTTGATAGAAATAGGCTCTCTGAACGTTCTGCATCTCTGCAACAGACAGAGACGTCAAAGAAAACCCACCACAGAAAGTGACAGAAACAGTAAGACTCAAAAGCAGATAAACCCAGAGAAGATAGAGTAAAATACTGAACAACACTGCAGAAAGAACACACTAGTTGCAGGACTGAAAACAGAGATTCAATCTCAGATCTTGTGTTTGAGTGTTGCAGTTATGCGAGCTGCTGGGACATAATGGTGCATTCATATTCTATCCTGGCATTCTTGGTTTCAATAAATAATTGCTATACATGCAGCAACCTTAACATAAGTTGATGCAAGTGAACCTTTCTCTTAAGTTACTGTGAACTTTTAATGCAATATCATGATCTAAGCAAAGGATGTTCCAGATAATGCTCATCTTGGTGGCTTAATCTTCAGGAGAAAAAGCAACACAGCTCATCACACACTTTCGATGATAGCAAACACTTCCACATAAAACAAAAGAAAACAAATGAGATTAAGTTTAATTACATACCATCTTTCCACAGCTCAGACACAAACTTATCCGATGACTGGTGGAGAAGAGTAGCAATGTTATCATTCAGAGGATCCATGTTCTTCATCAGCCATTCATCTGCTTTATAATCCACCTGGGGAAGATAAGCACGTCAAAAAACTTTGGGGGGGATTTTCTGTAGCACAAGATGCAACAAGATCCTGCAAAGTCTATAGAAGTAGCACTGAGGTTTGCACAATCAACAACAGATTAGCTCATCATTCTTGGATTTGCCATCTAAGTAAGCATACCTACAAATTTCAAACCCCAATAAACAGCTGCATGTTCTGCTTCATCAGTAAAGGGAATGGATTTGCAATGCTAGTTTGCATCACCCAGTGTGTGACATAAAAAACAACTGCATCATCATTTTGATGATGAAGTCCTGATGCAAGGTTTCTGAAAAGTACCCCAATTCTCACCAAGTCACAGAGAAAAAAAAAATTAAATTGGTGTCAGTTTGACATGTCTTCAACTATATATATATATAGTTGTAGACATATAAAGTTGAAGTTTTTATTTTTATATATATATAAACTTGTAGGCATACCCCCTTAGGCCCTGTAAGGTCCACAGCAATGGAATAATTTAGTGAAATCTTCCACTGATTTCCCATAGGCAGTCATTCTGCTAAGTAGCTATTTCTAAGAAGCAGTGGTTATGCATTAGAATATACAGCAGATATCCAGCATTCACATTTTAGCTACTAATTCTTTACCTTGCCAGCATAATGTATGATACAGAAGTCAGCTTTGTCTTTCAGCTGTTTTGGCTTCTGAAATTTGGGGTGGGTGCCTTGTTCTTGTACAACTTTTTCCACAAAGCTTTTGTCTGTTGCTTTTGGGAACCAGCACTCTTCATCCAGCAGGGCCAGTATACCAGGAGGCCCAGCCTTAAAGAAGGAAAACATCAAAATATCATTAAATACATGACTACACCAATAAGTAACACCTTCAGATGGCTATAAAAAGAAAAGGATATCTAAGCCTGATCCCAAACACATTCATTGCTGTGTGATACCATTCAACTGCTTCCATACTAATAGAAATTGTTAATAACACTTAAAAATTCTCATCTGAATTCTGATTATTTTTATGAGATGGTATCTTCCATTACCTTTGTATTGGTTGTTTTACATGAGCTTTTTAGTAGAAGGAACACTACCACACTGTTCTCCAAATATCCAGATGTACAAACAGAGAAGACCATAGCAGAACATTTCACAAGCCAATCCTTATTATTGGAATATTTACCATGACATTTATAAATGTTCAAGTTTGTTAGAGCAGAATGAAAGCAACAGAGATTCACAACTTCTCATCACTTAATAGTTAAGTAAGGATGCTCACATGTGAGTGGCTGACAATCTATGTTCATGCAATATTTCCTACAGAACTGATACTAACATTTATTGGTGATATACTTTCAGACAAAGACGAAACTGTTCACTTCTGCTTCTAAGCGTACCACAGTGTCAGTAGAGGATTACAAAAGCTAGGAAGCCAGTTTCCACTCTACAGATAGAGGTTATGTGCTCAATGACAAAATCAGTGCAGCCATTTCTTGCTGCTTGATGGTAGAAGAACAAGCTTACCGGCTTCTCTATGAGGTCAATGCAGGGCTGCAGATCCAGGCCAAAGTCAATGAAATTCCACTCTATGCCTTCCCGCTGGTACTCCTCTTGCTCCAGAATGAACATGGTGTGATTAAAGAGCTGCTGCAACTTTTCGTTTGTGTAGTTAATACACAACTGCTCAAAGGAGTTCAGCTAATGAAGAAAAAGGTAGAAAGATGTTTGAGCAGTTGCTTTTGAAGACATATCTACTATAATCTTAGCACAAAATAGCACATCTATACTTCAGGAATTTCAGCTAGTGTTCTGTGTGGGGTGGATATCCCTTTGTCAAGAGCCTCATTTGCTTATGAACTGCCTTTCTTGTCATGTGCCACTGCATTGCTGCTGCAATCCCTAGGGAATTTCATATACACTGTTCCTCGGAATTTGCAAAGGAATGTTTAGTTGTAAACAGCAAAAGAATTACTGCAGCTACTTAACCTAGGAACAGAAAAGACTCTGGTTTTCTCACAAACTCAAGGCTGGCCAGTCTGCTTCATAGGAAGAGGAAGCAACAGAAGCCTGAAAACAAATTCCTAAAAGAATGTGGACTGGAAAGTCCCTTTTTAATCCTCATATGTAAAATCAGAGGAAGGAAAGTAAGGGAAATTTTGCCAGTATCTCCAGATTTCTTCAAACTGTAAGTACAAGGTTAGCAACCCATGGTGTATTTTCATGTTAGAACTCACTAAATATAATGCAGTTGCTAAAGAGAATGGTCCTGTTCTACTTCCTCTAGGTTCCAGAAATTCCTAACCCTGTACTTCCACTCCCCTCCTTTTCATGAGATCCAGCAACCATGAAACCAAAGACAGACTGATCAGAGAGGGGCAAGGGGGAAAAAAAAAAATATCAACTTTTCTGTGTCTTAAGTTTTCCATTTCACGAATAAATTGGTACAATTCACTTTGCAGCTGCACATGAGCTAGATCCAGCATAACACAGGAGCTGCCTGGCTGGGATTGCATCAGGATGGTTCTCTTCTAATGGCAGCCTGTGGTTGCTTCAGACTAAGTATAATGCAAAGCCTCATTCTAAAACTGTTTTTCTTGACATGATGGCTTGGCCTAACAGTTCACTGCAACCTGTAGAGGGAGCTCCCACTTCCCCTCTTTTCCATCTCTCCCTTAACTTTCCTTCAGCTCTTCCTCTCCTACATTTATCTTGCATCACTTTTTTTATGCTCAGATTCACCTTTGCAGACTGATTCAACTCTAAAACACCCTAAGAGGGCTAGAGAGGTGAACAGTACAAGCAGTTGCAGCCAGGAGCATCAGAGGCTAAAAGGAGCAAGTTCCCTCCTTTTCTGCTTCAAGGAGCTGCTGTTGAAATTGTTTAGCTGTATGTGAAACCATGTTCTGATCCCCGATTTTAAGGCTGCATGCAGAAAGGAGTATACATAGATCAGAATTTATGTTGGATATGATTTGGTCTATCCTGTCTTTGTCTTTTACAAAATACATCAGCAAGAATAAGAAACCATTTCTAACAACTTCTAATGACACTAATAGGTTTCAGTGGGTCATCCCTTAAATGTTTTGGGACAGACTAATAGGGCATAAAATTTTAAGTCCAGTGGTGATTCATACCTCCACATGACATTTTAGAAGACTTTTTTGTAGGTTAGCAAACTCTTTACTGTAAGGGTGTCAGAGCACTGGAATAAGCTGCCCAGAGAGGCTGTGGAGTCTCCTTCTCTGGAGATGTTCAAAACCCGCCTGGACGCTTTCCTGTGCAACCTGATGTAGGGAACCTGCTTTGGCAGGGGGCTTGGTCTAGATGATCTCCTGAGGTCCCTTCCAACCCCTACCATTCTGTGATTCTGTGATCCTTAAGCTGGGAGCTATAAAGAATCAAGAACACCTGGAAATAATTCTAATGCACAAGCCAAAAAGAATGTAAGTATCAGAATATACAGCAATGAGATAAAAACATTTGCAGAATATATAACATACTAAAGACTGAAACACTTAAGTTAGTTAATAGCTTATCTGACAGTTCACATCAGCAGAGATCTCAAACAACAAAAGCGGAATACACATCCTTTCCAAAACTATACTGTTCTTTTCCAGTTTTAAAGTGATTTCCTTCAGTGGTCTTTGCTCCAGGGTAAACTGTGCTGAGTGCAAGGACCTGACAACTCCTTACCTCAAAAATCTCAAAGCCAGCAATGTCAAGGATTCCAATGAAGGACGCGCCCTGTCGCTTGGTCTTATCTAATGCCTTGTTGATACGCATAACAAGCCACCGGAACATACGTTCATAAGTGGCTTTAGCCAGTGCTTCAATGGCAAAGTCAGCCTAAATAGGAAAAAGACAAAGATCAGGAGTTACATTATAATCCAGAGGAAGGCAGAGATTTTCTGTTTTGGCATCTAATGGCCCAACTGTAGTATGAGATTTTCCCTCCACCACCAAACTCACTGAGCGAGACTCATTTCAGAGGTTGTTCCCAATGAAAGGTAGGTGGCACAGTGATACCACATAAACTAGAGCAAAGAATTTGTCTTATTAAATTAGTGTGTCAAAGCCAAATTTTAGGATCCTGCCTGTTGGAGAAACCAATGGCTGGTATTCAAGAAAGAAAAATTATGCTCAGTCACCTCCAAAGACCATAGTAACATAGTGTGGTCACTGGCCCAAAGAAAAGCATTTATATTCTTTTGTAATTTAGGATTTGCAAAGTCCAATCCCTCCCTCCCATACCACTACTCTTGTGACTGACATAAAAATACTATGTCTAGTAAGAAATTAAATATCAAAATGGAAAGGCAGCCTTTGACTCTTTTTATACTCTCTTTCTAATCTCTTCCATGTTATGGAAGGCATGGGGGCATGTTTATTTACACTGAGAATAAGGATGTGTTCATAAAGAAGGCATGCAGTGAGGAAGCACAGAGGCTTTGCTCCATTCAGGAGGCAACTAGGTCCTGGGTCTGGTTTCACTTGGAGCACAACCCAATTCATGAGTGTTACAGAATTGACAGTTTCAAGAGTAAGCAGCAAATTCTTCTACCCTAGGAGCTGACCTACTCAAAAATGGTGCCTTCTGTATTACAGCAACTTGAAAATGTCATCCTTGCATACAGCACTGAAAGAATTTACTCCCTTGAGACAGCCAGTCACTAAATTTAGGGGAGTTGCAGTCTCTTTTTTTTTTTTTTCCCCTCAGATGAGAAAAAGTGCTACAGAGGCAGGGTGATTTCTACCCTTATACAGATCAAGTGAGCAAATACCAGAAGCAATATTTATGCTACATTATTAAGTGTGGTTGCCATACACTGCAGTCATAAAATGTTTATTAAACACTACAGAAATCTCTATTAGGTTTGTTAGCTTTGAGTCAGCAAGATTAAAGACTACAGTACTCATTCGCTTTTAGAGAATACATACCTGCTCTTTGGTCTGAGCTTTCTGGACGTAATCTCGCCCAACTTTGATGCGAGGAGTCAGGATACCTCTAGTGAAATCTGTCACATTGATACCCAAGAGGTGAGACACTTTCTGAGCAGCTAAAGATAGTAAGAAGAAACAACAAAGAGATTAATGTTCTTTCATTTTTTCTCATATAAAGCAAGAGAAAAACACTCCTGCAACAGCCTTCCCAAAAGAGTAATGAAACAGCTTATAAAAAACATTAAATTAAAAACAGGTTGATGACAAAGATGGATATCTTCAAAACCAAGAAAATCTCCCAAAACTCCTGCAACCCATGCCACAGGTTACTGAGTTTCTCCAAAAGTCATGAGAGTAAATTTGAAGAAATACTGTCATACCACTAAGTCATGACACGGAAGCTTTATTAAGTGCATAGTCTGTAATCAATTTAAAGATACGTCAAGTAACGGATTTCTTAATCACGCTAATTGTTCTGTCTTAATTTACTGATTAGTCTTTGAGGCAACTGTGTATTCCAGCTTCAAGTTCCAAAATCCAAATGGTTTACTCTCCTCCCCAAAATGCCATTTAAAGCATATTTTCCATGACAATAATAGACAAAAATATAAACACCGAAAGCTAAATTAGCAATCTCTTGTATCTCTGCAGTACATCTATAATGAAGGTCTAAGAGCTAAGTCTTTCAACAGATAACCTTCTATCACATGCAACACGGTGCTATTTACACATGCAACAATGGGCAGCATAATTAAAATATATACAAATGTTTTACACTGACCACAAAACTATCTACCTTACTCTTACGGTGACAAGTCTACCTACAAAGTCAGCAAAGAACATTCCTGAAGTCTGATAAAATAGGTTTGTAGGAGCAATCATTCCTAGCTTGGTTAAAACACACACAAGCTACATATTCCAGTAGAGTAATCCTTTTCATCTGGTCATCACATGTGCTTCCTGCCCAGGCCTTTCACAGGAACAGTGCCACATTCCTGCCCATGGGTGGCTGCAAACCACGCCTGGTAAAACAGTGTGTATTTGTATGAAGGACCATGTCAGCTCCTTTGACAATTAACTCACCTCATAGAAAAACAGGACTCCAGCATTCCCTACATACTGTAATATATTCTTCTACCTGCAAGAACTTCTGGTAGGCTTTTTTTCTGCATTTTTCTTTGGGGTGGGAAAAGCAGATTGGTTACCTGTATTGTCTGGCATAGAGGCTTGGTCTGTATTACGCTCCTTCTTGAAGACTATGTTGCCAAGTTGAAGAACACCTGAGATAACCTTCAGTAGACCTTTCAAAATAATAATAGTAATAGTAATAGTAATAGTAATAGTAATAGTAATAGTAATAGTAATAGTAATAGTAATAGTAATAGTAATAGTAATAGTAATAGTAATATAGTAATAGTAATAGTAATAGTAATAGTAGCTTAGTGTCAGACATCACCAAAATCCCTGAGATGACCCAGTTACCTTTCCTGACATAGTTAATAGGCCCTTCTCAATATCTTTCTGGAATTTGGGGAAAAAAACCACACAGGTAATTCCTCTGACTCCCACTCCGGACACGGGACTCTCCCTGTCCTTCCTATGCAAGACTACACAGCCTGGAAATTCACCCATTCTCAACATCACTATAGTAAAGTGGGAGACAAGATTGGCAGTAATGTGCCACCCTAAAACATCTATATTTTTTGACAAAATGTTCTTTGTTAGAGGGACAAAATTCACTGTTAAACACAGGAAAGAAACAGTTATTAAGAGTACAAACCAAGTAAGAGAAGGAAAATTTTGTTCCTTTAACCCTGTACCACTTTCAGCTCTCTGACCAAGGTCTGTAGTCCATACAGAAATATTATAATGTATGAAGGGCATCAGGATGCAGGCAAAAATGCCTGTACATAACTATTACTAATTACATGCTGAAGCACCCTATCTATTGCTAATGCTACATTCATACTCATCGAATGGTGCATGTCACAAAAGCAGTATCAGATGCTAGGACAGGAAAGACATTTTCAATACCATAGCATCAATTCAATTTTCACTGTGTATAAATCAAAGCTCATTGCATAAAATCTTCTAGTTGCCTTGAGCAAAGTAAACTGACAGTCACTTGCAAAGGGAATCTTGTACCAAAGATTTTCTCATTCCCTAATTTCTACCTCTTACAGAAACATTAGATTTAAAACAATACCCTTCTGATAGCAGAGTGAACAAAAGCTCCATATATGCTATATCAGGACTAACAGAAAAGAAACATATGTCTTCCTAGTGGCATGTTATGAAATTCAGTAGTTTGACAGCTGAATTTGGAGTCCTGGCACTTGGACAGACAGCTTATTTTAATGTTGTCTCATCAATTAAGACAGTTAGTGTTTAGACTTCACATCAAAACTAAGCCTAGCATCCAGCCAGCTACTCTCTGTATTAATTCTTCTAAGCCTATAAGGAACATTAATGCACTTCACACTTTGAACAGCAAGTGCATAACACTAACGCTGTCTTTGCTGTAGAGGCTGGAACCAGTAGCTCATCTATGTGACAGCAAAGACATGCTCTAGAGCATACATTAGAAACCCAGCCCAAAAAACTGAGCATACCAGGACATTCTGACAATAAAGTAGGTTGCCAATTCTTTTATTTGGTTTACACAAATGTCTCTTCACCTCCACATAGCAATTTCAGTCTCAGATGATACAGGATACCAAGAAGTGCATTAACTGTGGATAACAACAGTGTGGATTTATAGTAGACTTGACTGTGAAGAGCAATAGTTAAGGCACAGGCATATATTCCCTACAGCCACAAGAGCTGCAGCCTCCAGCAGAGAAGGTGGAGACCTCAAACCACCACAGATGCTTGCTTCAGTGTAGAGAAAAAACAGTCCTAGTTTTAAAAGACCTTATACACTCAGAAACCGAGATTTTGCAGAACACTCGTTCCTAACCAGTCAGGCAGACCATGAATGAGACAGCACAGAGCTCTGGTGAATACATTTCACTGCACTTTGTGCTGGCTGCATGCAATTCTAGCTTCACTGTCATGGTACTGTGCTCCCAGAATCAGACAATATTAATTTCTGATCAGCAGTTCACTGTTAAGCTGGAAAGAAAGGCACTATGACCAGGCCATTCTCAAAGTACTAATCCAGCAGTGGCTGGATTAGATACTTTAAAGCCACTGCTTAGGGATAGGGGGAGCACACAAGCCGTGCATTGCACAAGAGAATGAGGGGATTCTTGTATCTTGGATGTGTTATTCATAAACTGGATATACAGCCCTCAGATTGGATACAAAAACAGCAAGCAGAAGCATGTTTTCATTAGCTGCTTGACTGCATAAACTGAAACTGTGCTGGTAGACCCTGAGGTGGGTCACTCCAAAGCCACTAAGTTTATTACTTGCACACTGGTCACTTGGGGGGGCAGGGGGAAAATGGGCACCAGACAAAACAAACCAAACAAAAACCCTAAAACAAATGAGAAAAGAACCCCAGAACAAAAAAAGCTCCAGAGATATGATCTGTTCCCTCTTTAATTTCCTTGCATTTTCAAGCCCTTGAGAGGATTCATACCTATCTGCTCCTCATCTGGGATGCCCATTATCTTCATTGCCTCCATGGTCTCTTGAAACATATCTTTGTCTTGCTGACCCGGGATCGTAACATGCCCATTGGAAAGGAAGCGATATTTGTTGTAAGGCTCCAGCAGCAGATCAGCTTAGGAAAGAATTGAGAAGGAAATTACTTTTTTTTTTCTTTTTTTTTTTTTAAAGTAGACAACACACTACAGATCAAATTTCTGACTTGCATATGGTAGCAGGTGCTGGATGAATCCAGGATTAAGTCTAGTTTTACTGCAGGCTGAACACTGAATGTATTTCAGATAAAATTAGAGCCTTATTTCTTTCTGTTCCCTCCTCTGGACTACTCCACCAAAGCAGTGTCAATCATCATTATCCCCTAAGTCTATAAGAAGCAGGGATTAACTTGAAAGTAAATTTGCCTTTAATTTCAGACACTTAATTTGTTTCAAGTCAGGTGAAAGTTAATATGTAGCTCTTGAATCAGTAGCAACCATGAGAAAAGTCCTCTCCTTTGTCCTTCCTCCAGATCAATTTGCAGCTCTCGCACAACATGGACCCTGCTTGCTAGGCTGAGCTAGGTACACTAGAGTCCTAGACTTCCAGAGCTGTTTAGGTGCTAGCAGCTTTGTTCCATTCAGTTAAACACCACAGTAGGACTATTCCTGCACTAGAAGGGTTTACATCATGCAAGACGAGACTAAACATGGGACAGTGATTTAGATAAGGAAGGGCGTAGAGTCATTGCTGGCAAGGAGACAAGTGCAGGAAGGAACCAGAGAAGCAAGTTTTCAGGAACTGAGAAGTGCAGGGGGAGGGCAGAGGGATGTATGAGTGTACAGAAGAAGTGGAGGAGGAGTAACCATATCTAAAAGAGCCAAGAAACTCTGAAGGAACAGGTCCTAGACTACAAGTGTTTTGGACCCTCTGTCACTGTGATGAGGGAACCCCACAACAACAACAACAACAACAACAACAACAAAAAAAATCACACTTACTTTTCAAATGCTCCCCTGCCCCAGATAGCAGGTAGTAAAAGATGTGGAAGGTTCTCTCCTCTTTGGCTTGACGAATTGCACGTGACTTCTCCAGCAGATCTTCAGAGAGTCAAGGCATATGGCAGGACACACAAATCACTTCCTATTCTATGCCAGGAGAAAAAACCTCTGCTTGATGTTCTCCTCATACCAATTAACAAGTGTATTGATTTAGCAATCATTATCAGTTAGCAACCCACTGAGCCTCTGTTCTACCAGCCTCTGAATAATGGCTATGATAAGAGAGACTTAACTGATAAAAACCAGAAAAACAGTGCCCACCTATCCCTACTTGCCTTGGACAGAAGTGAGAATGGCTTATGAAATTCCAAAGCTATTAACTTTATTGCAGTTTATGCTTTCATTTCAGCCTACTAAGATTAGAATTTATTAATTCAGAAAAGATTTCCACCATGATCACAAAGGTCACAAAATACCATATGAAGAAATGGGAGACTGCAACAGTAATCTTGCTAGCATAAATGTAAGTGCTTCCTACCATTTTCTCGACCCGACAAACAGAAAGTCAGTTATGAAGAGGTTGTTAGGTATCATTATTGCCATCTCCATGGCCTTTAACTTTTCACTTTAAGTGGTTTCAGAAAGGATACAGGTCTCAATATTGGCTCCAACAATGTAGCCGTTGACATCAAAGTTGATTCTGATGAACTTGCCCTAAGAAGAATATAATAGCATTAAAATTAGTATTAATTCTATCTGGTAACAGCAGTAAATAGCAAAGGTAAACCTTCTCTTTTCAATCCAGGAAAGGAAATTCAGAAGAGGTCGGGCAGGTGTTAGGTAAAACATAAGGTCAGCCAACAGGCAATACCTGCTAATCACAACAGCAATTTAACAAACAATACACCAAACTCTTTCAGACATTTCTGACATTCAGACAGCCTACAATTCAAATACGTTATGTTTCAGCCTACATTTTCCACAACCAAGGTCCCTTCAGTTTCATGTGCTATATAATCTAGACAGTTCCACCTCCCTCAATGTTGGCTTCAACCATTTTCATTTAGTTCCAGCTCTAGATTCCCCCATCTGCCTCTCACACTGTCCACTGCTCTCCAGAGCAAGCAAAATAAGGAAAAGTATTTGCTCTCCAGGATAAAACTGACTGTAATAAACTTACAGTAAAAATCAGCATAGATGATCCTGGCAAAGGGTCAGGTTCCTCCATTCCAGAGACCTATCAGGTCTATGCTAGATAACTGACTGAATGAAATTCACATTTCTGATTAATTTGAAGGAAGTCACTCACAGACAGTTGTCTTATCCCTGACAGCAATTCACCCAAAAGCAGGACAAGTCTTCCATGTGAAAGCATAGAATGCTGGCACCCATGCTAGATAGTAATACTCACAAATCTTGAGGAGTTGTCATTCTTTACTGTCTTGGCATTTCCAAAGGCCTCCAGGATGGGATTAGCCTGGAGCAACTGTCTCTCCAGTTCTCCCTAAAAAGAAATCAGAAATTAATAAAGTAAGTAGTGGTTCACTGCATTAACCTTGGGTCAAACCAGTGCTGAAGTTTCAATTCACACTAGCTTGGCATCTGTTGTAGAGAAGCCATATTAAACCTTAGGAGATGATCCCTTAAAACTTCAAAGGAGACTCATTAGTTATCTGGGTAAAACAGAAACATTCACAAATATGCCTTATTCCCTTCCTTAACACAAGGGCATCCTAGTGCTGTCTTTCTGTTAACAAGAAGCCCTTCAAAGCCACTTGGCCATAACATCCCAGAGAGCTCCCAGGATCAAAGTGAAACACCGTACCATCAAAGATCAGGCCCTCATCGTCCAGGTATCTTGCCACCTAGGCTGGAAGAGCAAGGAAAATCCTGTCTTGCTACTGCACAACAGCCCTGAACTCTGCTAGTTGTAGGAGGTTAAGAAGTTAGTCTGAAAAGGTCTAATAAAAAAAAAAAAACAAACCCAACAAACAAAAACAAACCAAAAAGTCTGCACTAGGAATCTTCATCTTCCAAAATACAAACAAGTAAAAACCTCCTTTGTAAAGAGGCACACAAAAAAAAGAGAATTAGTGGTATGCCACAAACTGCATGATCGCTTGCGTTCTGCTGCTATATTCACGTACTCCTCCCCTCAAGGAACACAAAATACTGGAGCTGTAGAAAAATTCAGAACCTTTATCCCTGCCAAGTACTAGACCACTGGAGCATATACACCTTTCCCTGCAGGCTCTAGATATATCCTTGGCTGTTTTTAAAAATTACTTGTCCTCTATGCTAAAAGCGTGGAGTTCTATATATTTCAAGATTATCTAAAAAGCTTCTAGAGACAGAATATGACAGTTTAGATTAATGTTTCTCTTTTTAGCCATTATCAGTAAGTACTCAAGACTTCCTGTGCATAACAGATGGAAATAAAGTTTGGTTTGTGAGAACTGGAATTTATGGGCAAATTATTTAAGGGTATTTCTGAAGGAAAATTGTTCTCATTCATTCTCAAAGTGCATTATAAAACAGATTAGTCCTTACATAGTCTCTCTAAAAATACATGCGTAGAAAAAAAAGAAAAGAAGAAGATACATGAGAAACTGTACAAAGAACTCAAAGTCTTTATTTCTTACTCCCACAATCACCTCACTGTGCTTCCAAAATGCACAGCCAAAGAAGACCCTCAGCCCCTGCAGAACCACACATATACAGAAGGGGCAGCTGGTGCAAACCCTTTCATTCACTGTTAAGTATATATAAGAGAGTCAGCCCTGGGAAGGGAACCTGAGCTGGGACACGCACTGTCTCACAAGAGCCAGCGTGTGGCTTTGTAAGGAGAAAACCTTTAAACTAGAGTTCAGTCCTTGAAGCTGTGCGGCAGTCACATTTCCCCTCCTGTTCTGGCACAGGTATTGAAGTGAGAACACTCTTCCCTCACCCCATTCCTCTTTCCCATCCTGCAGTGAAGTCATGGGCCTTTGTTTGTGACTGCAATTTGTTACTGTGCAAGTGAGAAACGCCAGTAATGTGGCATTTCAACCCAAATACGGAACAAGGAGGGAAGAGATTAAAAAAGCCCATTTTTTTCCTCTCAACAGAAGTCAGGCTTTGACATCAAATCTATTTTAATTATTTGGCTAAAAATAAAACTAAGGTCATGCTTAGCTACACAAAGATCAAAAGTTTATAGAAATCCATGCTATAGACCCTCCTGTTATTTAGCATCTCAGGAAGAAAGTGTCATTAGTGTTAAGTGGGTGTTGGTAAACTGTAGTTTAGAGGTGATTAGGTTTCCTGAACCACCAAGGTAGCAATATGCATAGAGAAGCCAACTCAAGCTCACAGCAATACAAAGCTCTTGGGAAAGGAAAACACTAAAGAGTTGGTCAAGTCACTTCTCTCATGACTTGCCTTAGCACCATGATACATTGGGAAGATCAGGATCCCAGCATGCCATGGCAATGGTAGATAGGATGAAGTGGATGTGATTACTGCAACATATCCATTCCTTCCTGTACACCATCCTTGTTTAAAGAGACAGTCCATTATCTTCAAATATTTTAGAGAAGATTTGGGTGGAAGTTGCTGAGGTTTTTCTACCTCAAATTTTGATAGTCACCTTTCACTAAAGGAAGAGACTTCATTGTTATTACACAATGGATATTTTTGCAAAGCAAAACCAGTACAACACAGCTGTCTGTCACAAGCTTTCTAGAAATTCTAAAGTTCCTATCATTAAGATGCTGCCAATTTTCTGACACCTGTAATTGCCACTCCTTGACCTAAAACAAATTTGTTTAATACTTGGCATGCATTTGAAGTATGTATAATATTCCTCATGAAAACAGAAGCAATAACAGCCACTGGATTGGTTAGCCTGTGGTTGGACACCACACACTTCAGTACACTCTCTACTGCTCTGAAGTTACACCACCAATTTAAAGCAATTAAAATCCTTGACATCTATCTTGTACTCTGAATTTTTTGCATCTCGTACACTTTTTGGAATGATTTCTATTCAAGATAGAAGTTTTGCTAGCCTTCTATTGTTCAGGAAGCATGAAGAAAGGCATCTAGAAATCACAGCTAGCTTTAACAGCATGCAATTTAAAAAACTAAAAGATAGGAGGGGGTATTTGAGTTTTTTGTTTGTTTTGGTGGGATTTTTTGTTGTTTTTTACACTTTAGGGATTTGCTTTTGTATTCTTCTCTGCAGTTGTGTGAGAGATTCTCAAATAACTGAATCCCAACAACAGTGGGTTGGATGGAGAAGGGAGAAAAGTCATCAGCAACCTAGCCTTTATTACAAATATTTAAGCATTAGCAACTATTGCCCATGAATTTCTGATCAGCTGCAAACATTCTCATCTTGAAAAAACCATCACATGCTTTAAGAAGTCAGTAGACAAGCAGAGGCTAAACATGAGAAAACATCAATCTCAACTTCTATAAATAAAGTTTCAACAAATGAAAAAAAGTGTTTCTATAATTAGATTTTGTAGGCCCCAAAAGCAGCCTTAATGTGCTTAGTAGTCACACCATGCAGCTAGAAGCTATTTAGCTGAATATACTAATGCACTGGGATCAGTGGAAGATGCCACTACCTCCAAAAGAAAAGAGCTAGAGTTGAAGAACATGCTTTATAAATCTGATTTTGCTCCGATACTTGGAAAAACAGCGGGTTACATCCAAAACTTGGAACAGGTGACAGTCAAGAAACCTTCCTGGTAGATAAAGCACCACTACTTTCTATATCATCATTGGTTAAGTTCCGTGCCTGTTCTTGCAGCATAAAGTTTTGCTGCTATCATATTCAACCCTAAAGAATAATCTGCCATGACCAGGGTACCTGAAATCCTCAAAAAAATTAACTTATTCATCTTCATCAACCCTTATAATCTGGTTCCAAGTTTAAGGTTTGTAAAGAATTGTTGCACAGGGCACTCATTACCGATTAACATTCAACAACTTCAGTTCTAAATTAATCCTCTCTGGTAAGGCCAGTGCTACTGTTAGTCACAGAAGTGGAGCAAAAGTAAGCTGCAGGACTTTTCAGAAGAATCAAAACTTGGGGGCAGGGATTATTCAAACTTGGGCAAACCACCATCGAGACCAACTTAGCACCATTTTATTCTCCTAAGCAGACTGCCTTTCCTGCTTTAGTGGCTGAAATTTTGCTTGGGAATAAGTAGTGGAAGAATACTTAACTCAACCCCATGATTCTATTTTCCACACTTAAAAAAAAGGAAAATGTTTCTAAATAAAGCTACTGACAGACCATGGAAAAAGCCTTCGTATGTCTGAAAGTCTGGCACACAGAACTTTTTTTTTTGGTTGAATTCCAGAAGCTAGTTATTACTATGTGTGCATACACACAGTATGCCTGCATGCAGAGATTACTTCTTGTATATATGAGTATGTACTCATGCCTATACAGCAAGATACTACGGGAAAACTCAACCTAGAGATACAGCAGACACACTTGTATCTGACTTTCATTACACAGCTCACCAGTGAACATTTCCAATGTGTTCAGCTCTGGCAAACAAGCTCAGAGTACTGGAACACCCTGTCTGCAGGGCAGTCTTCCCCCTGACCTTTCTTTGCAACCTGCAGACACATCTCACTGCAGGGAATAGAAAGCTAAATACCTGTTACATTTATCTTACTAGGAACACCACACACACTAGACGCTTATGGTTCTAGGACAGGCTGGTCCGGTCCTATTGCCCTGGAGGAATACTTCTCAAGTGGCATATCTGGGAAAATCCTGGAAGAAAAACCTTAAATGCAAACTACTTTTGAGCACAGAACATAAGTATTCTTGATATTACTTTAGTCTCCAATGGAACATCCTCACAAAAAGATTACTGTGCACCACACAAAAAAAAATAAAATTGTGAATTGTCTATGGATTTGTTTTAGCTGCAGAAAGTGATATTGGTGTGGAGTGAAAAGCTGCTCAAAAAAATCACACAATGGGACAGAAAACGCATTCCTGGTGCAGAACGTGCAGTAAACGTGCAGCTCACCTACGAGGATACAACTGACGAATTCGGCAATAGTCCATCGGGGGAGAGGGAGGGGAAAAAAATATAAGTGAGACATCTTTAACGTCCTCCCACCGTCACCACCACCCTCCTTTCACGTGCTGCTAACACTTGACTCTTTTCCACCCTTTTAATGTTTTCCTACAATTTTAAAGTTTTCAGCTGATGTCCACTAGCTTATCACCGTATTCTTTTATTGTTAACTTTTATTGGTTTTATTGTTTCACAGTTCACTGTCCTCCTCAGCCCCCTGGTAAACGTTAGTATCTAGGCTTTTGTTGAGCAATATGTCTTTTACCAACATCAACCTATATACATTTACTGTCCAAAGTCAGCACAGCAATAGAGTGTCATTAAACCCAGGAGGTCTTACCTGGTCTTTTTTAGACTTGTGTGAAGAAGCAACATGAGCCAGATACTGAATGACCTTCTTGGTGTTCTCTGTCTTACCAGCTCCCGATTCACCTCTGTAAAGAAAATCTGCAATTCATTCACAAACAAGACACAGGGGGACATATTCATATTTTTAACCCCAAAAAGACTATAGAGCTCCTTAACTGCACTCTGGCCATTAGGGCACCTCCCTCGAAACCAAGAAAACACAAGTTGCACTGGCAAGCGGTGCCAGTGTAGCTGGACTGCAGGCCAGCCCTCAGACAGTTTGCTGCGGGGTACAGGTTCTGTACGTGTGCACAGAGGAGGGAAGGCCACTTGGATACAAAGCTTGCCAAGTGGCTGAGCAATAATCCTGAGGCTGCTGTAGAGCTAGGGATGAAAGGTAATGAAGTGAATCTTTCAAAAGGAAGCCTTCTGACTGCAAGAAGAAACATACCAAGTCCTTCAGCAGAACTGAGGGACAACAAATTTTGCTGTTTGTAGAAGAAAAACTGCTGTATCAAGAGTATCTGTTACTGTATCAGCTTCATCAGTATGAATGTACATTAACATAACAGCTGCATCAAATCTGAAGGATTTTTTTCCATTGACAAAGTTGTATTTGTTTAGGAGTCTGAGCACAAGGGCCGTTTCAAAACCTCTCTTCTTCCTCCAGTTCTTACAAAAACTATTCTGCAGAATGGATTACATATGTATTGGAGAAACTGTAGTGGGAAGTGGGACCTTCCTTAACTCTCCACTATGATCTACCAAGCCCACTCCCAGCATTTACAATTAAGAGAGTCCTCCAATCAAAATTCTGAACACAGACTCTGACATCCAGACAAGTTGACAGCTGTAATACTCACGTGCAAAGGATGGACTGATCCTCTCGATCTGCAATAAAATTTTTAAAAAGGCAGTTAGACTGAGACTCTAAAATTAAATGTATGTGACAGAATGAAATCAACACCAAAGATAAAACCAGGAACTAGTAAACTCTGACAAGTATCTTCAGAAATATGGCCAAGTAACCCCTTTTCTGGAAATACATGCCAACTTCCCACCATCTGCTAAAGTATAACGGCACCCTCGCCATTTCATTTTCTTCATCCAGAAGGAGTATTGTTTGCATTACAATTTTTCTACAAACAAAACAGAACTGTCTTATTGAATGTTTCTTTATCAGAGAGCAACAGTTTGATGTACATCTACACCTACTTCAGCCCCCTCCTCCCCATTATACTGGGCCCATAATGACTTAAGTTATCAACGGAGCAGTAGAAATGGAAGGGGGAAGTGGGACAGGAACTGTTACAAATCCCAAAGTGCCAAAACTTCACATCAAACAGAGGCTTTTACCCCCAAAAGACACACTTGAAGCTCACCAAGAAATCTTTATCACTTATTTTGTACAGAATGGATTTGAAAACTACAATGCTAAGCAACAGCCTAAGTCCTATACAGATGACTTATTTGTGGCACTGTCCCCTATTGTACTAAGAGAGCAGCTGGAAACAGTAGAAATCTTTTCTTTTTCATGTTGACATAGCAGTAGACGTTAATTCCTGTGTTCAGTTCCCAGCTCTGGATTATAACATCTTTCCAGTTACAGAACTTACTTCATCTACCCTATCAACACTTACCTTCTCCCACATCTTTAACTTCCTTTCAGCTTTCATCTATGATGCCACTTCCCCATATGCAGTCCTGACTAGTCCTTCCACCATGCCTTCATCCCACTGCTCCTCCACCACTTCTGTGTGAACACACTCCCTCACTTCTGCCTTGCTTTCACCTTTCATCCATCCCTCCACCCTGTGCTCCCCCCCAGGTCTGCATCCCATTCCTCCCCCATACCACCAGGAACCAGATGGGAACACTGGGTAGACTGGAGAGCGCCCATGCCCACACCACAACAGCCTTAGTAGCTTATTGTAGTCATCACAGGGGCAGCAAGACCTGTTCAGGCATGGAACAGACTTGGACACAGCAAGTCATTCACAGACAGTCCACAAGAGTTACTGGTGCACTCACAGAACAGACTGTGCCACCAAACTCAAAATCACCATTAGTTTGGAAGGTATCGATTTAGCTGTGGGTTCTTTTTTATTTTGTTGGGCTTTTGTGGGTTTTCTGTTGCATTTGGGTTTGTTTTTTTTTCTTAAGATGAAGACCAGAGGGCTATCAGATCATCCAGTCTGAGAACCTCAGTAACACAGCAATTAGATTTCATCCAGTTATTGTCATTCTTTCCTTTTTCCATGCTAAGCCCAAATTTTGTGTTGGATAGAAGTCTAATTTCCAAGGAGAGAAAAAGCAAGCCTCAAACATCCATGACAGTATGCACTTCTCTGGATTGCTCTAAGAAATTATTTCAGCAATTGGTAACCTTCATCAGTAGGTTTATGGATGTGACTGCATCCGTATTTTAGTTACTGTTTCTTCCTCTTCTTTTATCTAGTAGCTTAGAGAAGCCAAGTGCATTCAGTATTCTCCCCACTAGAGAGTTCTTCAACAATATAATTGAGTCACCATTCAAAATGGTTTATGCAAGATAAAGAGATTGAGCTGTAATTAGGGAAGGCTTTCTGGTCAGATAAGAATTCAAGTACCTAAAACCACTTTCTGTACCCTTAAATACTGTTACCGCAAGTTGAATTTAACATTTCAGTCCTAACATCATGAATGCCATACTCATCAAGAAAGAGCTCCTATAAACTCAGCTTATAAAGAGAGAAGTATATCTAGCTTTGGACATACTTGCATGGAATAAGGAAAGCAGGTAAGCCTACCAAACTTGAGATTCTATCTTTTTAAAAATTATTCTGAAGCCAATAATGGAAACACTAAGTTCACACTGTACAAATAGGCAACTCTTGCTCTTAAACTGCTTTACTAGAAACTGATTGTATGTAGATGAGCAGAAAAATTTAGAGGACAATAATCTGCTTTATCTTTGTTAATACTGTTCTCAGAAAGAGCTGATCAGCCCTAAGACCAGAAGAAAGCAAGCAGAAGAAAATCATCACTCAAATGGTTTTGGTCCAGCAAATTCTTAAGCGTTCAAAACTAGCTACTGCAGCTTTACTAGCATTGCATAGTCGTTTTTTCAAACGCTGAATTTTATTCATTGCCTTTAAGATATGTACCCTTTTGCTGAGGGACAGACAAAGAGTAGACGTTAGCCAGCTCTGAAGGCCCCACCCATTTAAGGTTCCCAGTGGGTCAAGGGCTCAGCAGAGGCATGCCAGCCCTCTTCGTGACTGGGCACTTTGAGGGTGGATCAGGGGAATAACTAATGACTCATTTATGGATTGCCTAAGGAAACGTATTCTTCCGTAGTGCGACACCTGGGTGCAAGTCTCTATCACAAAGCAGCTATGTCAAGGGAAAAGATTGTGCCTCTGAATAACATCTGACTTTCCAAAGCTTGAGTATAAACAAGCAGCCCACTTGTCCAAGAAAAGTTTATATTCACATTCAGTTACTACAGAAGCTCTTTTAAGGAATTAATTTGAGAGAAGGAAAAAAGAAGGATTAAAAAAAAACCAAAACCCTAAGGAAGGTGCTTCTTACTCACAGTAGCCAAACCTAGTGTTGGAATGAGTTGGGGCCCTAAGCATCTGACCAGTGCACACCTTCCCCCTCCAGGAGAGGATCCTTATTGCAGAGGGGAGAGAAAAAAAAAAAAAAATCATTGGTAAGCAGACAAATAAACCAAATTCCCAACACACAAAGATGATCAACATCAGATACTACTCAGAAGCTCTGAACACTTTTTGATCATGACAAGTTTTGTTGTACTTAGTTGAGAAGCTCTTTTTGAGCCTCATTCCAGTGAGGTCAGGTAGCAACAGCACCCTGGAGTGACCCGAGGAAGTCCCCAGGGGGCAAGCACAGGATTTTTCCACACCTTAACACAAAGCAAGGTGTTGAAAAGTGCTCAGGCAGGAAAAGTCACAGACAGTGCTCAAAACCCTCTCGGCACTACATTTCCCCCCCCAGCATACTTTCCTGGTGGCCCGCTGCAGCTGTGTTAGTCACCTCTGCTTTAAGCCAGCAGGAACGTACCTGCGAGTGCGGGCAAGTCACCCGCAGTGTGCAGACACTGCCATAAAAGGCAACATTCCTGTTTGCAATCCGGGGGAAATTCTTTCCCAGGACTGCAAAGCAGCAGTCATTGGGATAGCTGGAATTCTTCTAATTGTGTACAGACAGACAACTCGAATAATGTGTTGAGCAACAGGAAACTGGAGCCGACCAAAGGGCCAAAGAGCTAACGCATACAAAAGCATAACTCGTAGATACAATCCCAATGAAATATTGCTTAAAATGCTGATATTCATTCTCCATATAATACTGACTTGTGTCATCAGGAATCAGAACTCAGTTGCCCAGACAAGAGGCCACCTCCACTCAACCCCCTCCCCTTTTTTTGTTTAAAGGATCATTCAACACGGGCATACTGCACAACTTCAGTCAGCACTTGCCTTTACTCCGCTGTCAGTTGTGCAACCAGCCTACTCAGCAAAAGAGAATGTGCTGGGTACCATAAACTCAGTTGCTTATAATAACACAATCAAGAAACGGCTGATTAAAAGAAATCTGCATCTGCTTTTCAATCCTAAACAGAGTCACTTATTAAAAGCAATCCAGAACAATCACTCATTAGTTAACTATAGCAACAGTTCTGTATTTCGGACCAGCTGGCAAGAAAAGTTTTTTTTATCTCAGCTCTTTAGCTCTCATCACCATAGTATTCAAGTGATTGTAAGTAGCAGCAGCCTCAAGCACCCAGAAATTCAGGAAGTGAAACATCCTTAAAATTTAAGCTATACAGCAGTATGGTATAATAAGATCAGTAGATTAATTTATATATTTATATATACATATAAGCCCTAATATGACTCATTCTTTACTTTCTTCAGTCCAAAAATAAAAGACTACATTTTAGACTGCGTCCAGAACCTTCAGCATACATTAAAAACTTAATTAAACCTAAACTTGTTTTCACAAGAGAGACATCTTGAGCATAAGAAGTCCTTAGCTAAATATTCTACTGCAAACCAATGAATCTGAATGGATGCTGAACTGCTGCGGTCAAATATATTGGTATAATTGATAAATTAATAAATCTCCCAACTGCTAAATTTTGGTTTTAAGTGTTTTGGGATGGGAGAAGAAAAAGGTTGAGAAGTTAGAAGAGAATGTGCAGTTTAAGCTCCACATCTCAGTTACAGAACATCCTAGCAGGCCTTTATCACCCACTTCCTCTGCATGAGTGACTCCAGTTTCAAGCCTGTTCATCTCCATAAAAGGAGAAGTAATATAGCATTCACACAATGGTGACATCATCTCTCCAGCTAAGAGGAAGTGTAGCTGAAAGGCAAAGCCTTGGCTTGCAGTCCCCTGCCTATAGCTGAGTCATTAAGGCTAAAAGCTTAACCATAGCAAGATGGTACCACCCACCTCCTAACCACAGAGGGTCTGGCAGAAGGGAGCAGCCCGGCCCTCTAGGTTTCTGTCTCCTATAGTGCTCCCCTAGCATCACAGAGAGTGCTTGTAGCCCAATTTGGGCAACTGGCTGGCTGACCAAGTTACAGAGTTGACCTAAAGCAAGAATTAAGTCTTAAATGCACATAAGTGCTTCAACCATGCAGTAGCTTCAGTTCCTCAGTCCCTCCTCAAACTTGCCTTCCAACCTCAACATAATCTTACAACCAACATCCTTCCCTTAGGGCTCTAACACAGGAGGAGCCCCAGGCACTTGACACACTGTGCTACTCAGAATAACGCCACTAGCATAAAATCTAATGAAGTATGTACACTGTAGTGCTTTTACCTACAGGCTGGTTTGAGTAGGATCAAAAACACTCCAGGGGAACACCAGATCA